GAAGCAAACCCAATCCACAGGCTTTTGTTGTCAGCATACCCAAAAGAAGCAATGTGAAGACGTCTTGAGAACTCTCATTGTGGACAACTCGGTAAGGAAGACACACGACGCCGTGAACCATGGCGATCACAAGGAATTGAAACCAAATACACCATCCGAAGGCAATACAATAACCAACCTGCAGCGCCAAGGTATGCCACCATATGTACCATACTCTCATTGGATCCTGAAATTGGCATCATAAGAGATATCCACCTTCTCTCTGTAGGCAAGGAAATCAATAGCCGTACTTGGATGGAGGCCGTGTGCACAGCGGATGCCTTTTCAAATTGGCCTTGCCATCGCATCTTGAGTCACACTGTTTCCGGGCCAAAATTCCCCAGGAGAGCACAGTACTATACAATGACATCCTCGACGTGCTGATTGATCAAAATAATCGCCCAACCAGAGCCTGACCTAATATTTCTTTCGTAAGCACACTTGAAGTGACAAATACCACAATGAACACTCTTACCTTGTGGTATTCTAAATAGCATCAATGCCTCAAATAGAAACCGTATATCCATGCCATCCAGTAGATGCTGCTTCTGTTTTCATTGTAAGGCTCGTTAATTAACAAGTCTTGATTTGTACATTCAATGCCATGCATACCATTGAGCCAACCATACAGCATTCTTGCTTTGAGATCCGTAACTTGTTGCTGCCAGAGGTACCATCATCCAACATGTTCACCTACCATAAACGCGATGTGAGATAACGAGTAAAACCAACCCACACGCTTTTGTTGTCAACATACCCAAAAGAGGCAATAAAGACGTCTTGAGAACTCTCATTGTGGACAACTCGGTAAGGAATGCACACGACGCCTCATTGGGTCTTGTATAGACGAGACAACACCAACCTACACGCGAACTTTAGTACCACAATGTTCGACTTGAACAATAAAAGGAATTGCAGCGATTGAACTTACATGTTCTCTTGGAATGGAAGCTTGTGTCATGGGTAGATCGCGCACGCGTTTGTTGTAACTGAATGTGTCGCCATTGGCCACCTATTCACCCAATTGGCGTTGTCCATTGGAAGGAATGCCAGCCGTTAATGTGTTGTAGCTTGTAAATGGAGACAAGCTTACCTTACTTGTGAAGTGGGAGTGAAGAAGAAGGGGCTCTTTGTCGTTCCTCTCAGCGGCCCCAATTTGTGCACCCCACCCCACCCCGCTTGTTACAGCTACTGCTGTGAATAAGCACACAAGCAATATCCTATACATTTGGATCAATAAGGAACCGCTACTCGAGATTTCAATAGAACACATCACTTGTAATCAAGCTACCCATAATTTCACTGTGGCAGGAGGCGGTGTCAAGTACGGTAGGTCCGTGCGCATCAATGCAGCTTAAATCATTTTATGCAGCTCAACCGCCTACACTCAACGTGGGTGTAGTATATGCACGCACACACCTCTGAAATATGCGCGTATAGACTCTCATCTTGATAGATCCACATTATTGTATACTGCTTACGTACTTTCCTAAAGGCAATCACCATCCCATTTGTGCAGTAACCTGTCAATGACGCGTGTGTGTAACCACAACATCCCATTTCACTCAGCTCTCCATCTTTCCGTCAATGCAGTCAACACCATCCATTAGGAGAAAGCAGCTCCATCACACTTACGGCATAAGTAAAACATAAAGGTGCCTGTATCTCTAAACATTACAATCAAACGTGGGGTCTTTAATAGAACAACCCTGCTCGGCTGGGTCAAAGGAATCATGTGTGGCAGTTTCACGACCAAGCTTGCCAATCCCAGATTTCGCAATGTCGCCACCAGCCAAACTGGATCTGGGGTCGACCTCTTCGACGACGACGACCAAAAAAATTATTTTTTGGGCTAGTTGCGACATTGAACGCGAAACTTGCACCCAAGGTGCTGTTGACCAAGCCGAGCACATTGCTCTATTCAAAACCACACGTTTCATTGTAAAGTTCGGAGATACAGGCGTCTTTATGTTTGTAAGCGTGATGCTATATGAGAAGTGGTCTTTGTTCATTGCCAAGTAGCTAGACCCTGGAGAGCCAAAGATGCAGAAGGACATCTTTGGGTAACTCAGCTAAAAAGTCAGGACTTCAGGGACAAAGCATGAAAGGTACGCAACCCTCACTTTTATGTCATACATTGGCAGCTAATAGCCACTTTTGTGCATTCCCAACTTTTGTGCATTCTATTGTAGGTGGACGATGCTCCTGCTCTAGACATTCATTTCCATGATTAAAGTAAGTTGATCCGAGCTGATTTGGTTGAGTTACGCTCACACAAGATTACATCGGTTGAGCTACATCGAGCGTGCTTTATGTCCGGAGTGATGTAATCTCTCTTTGACCGCAGCTCAGTCAAATCATCTCGGATCAACCTACTTTAATCATGGAAATGAATGTCTAGAGCAGGGGCATCGTTCCAATGCAGTGGATCTCGCAACAATGATGATTGGATAAAAGTGGCCGTTAGCTAGCAATACATGCCTGTCCCTAGATGATCCATAAAGTAATTATACATTGTCCCTTTCATTCATGCAAACATAGCTGTGTTACACAACACGACCCTCTGCATCTTTTGCTCTGCCAGAGTCTAGCTACTTTACATTAAACAAAGACCACTTCTCATATAGCATCACGCTTACAAACATAAAGGTGCCTGTATCTCCAAACTTTACAATGAAACGTGGGGTTTTGAATAGAGCAATGGGCTCGGCTTGGTCAACAGCACCTTGTGTGAAAGTTTCGCGTTCAATGTCGCAAACAGCCCAAAAAATATTTTTTTGGTCGTCGTCGTCGAAGAGGTCGACCCCCAGATCCAGTTTGGCTGGTAGCGACATTGCGAAATCTGGGATTGGCAAGCTTGATCGTGAAACTTTCACACAAGGTGCTGTTGGCCAAGCCGAGCACACTGCTCTAATAAAAATCCCACGTTTGATTGTAAAGTTAGGAGATACAGGCACCTTTATATTTTTAAGCGTGATGCTATATGAGAAGTGATCTTTGTTCATTGTCAAGTAGGTGGACCCTGGCAGAGCAAAAGATGCAGAGGGACCTCTTTGTGTAACTCAGCTCATTGGGTAGTACTGGAACAGATCAATGCATGATAATACATACCATGATAATAGCTCATAAACTGCCCGCTAACAGCCACTTCCTCCAATTCGTCTTTGTTGCCAAATCCATTGCATATGAAAGATTCTCCTGCTCCAGCCCATCATTTCCATCATTCGACTTTCTTGATCCGAGCTGATTTGGCTGAGCTACGCTGGAACAGCAAACACGAAAATTCTTGAAAGACAGACCCTGCGAATGTCTCCGTCTTTCAAACTTGTGGACGCTCCCATTCCAAATTTTCAAATGAAGCGTGAGATCTTTATTAGAAAATATTGATCAGCATGCTCGAGAGCACCCTGCTGACCAATTTTCAAGTTGGGAGTGGGCAACTTCGGGGCGGTGGGCCGTTCGCTCTATTGTTCGCATCAACCACCATTTGGATCGGCCCGCATTTCAAATCTTCTTAATGAAGTCTGCGACTTTTAAATGAATGAAGTTGATCAGCATGTCCCAGCGAACCTTCTGACAAAGTTTCACGTTCGAAATGGGGAATCCCAATGTAATGTTTATTGTTTCGGTAAATCATGAATCTGGGGCTGACCTGCATTTCCGACTTACATAGTAAACCCACATTGTACCCTCCCATTCAATTTTTTGTAATGAAACATGAGGTCTTTTTTTAGTTCAACGTGATCAGCATGTCCCAGAGCACCTTGTGTGAAAGTTTCAGGTTCGAGAGAGGCAATCTCGATATCAAGGACTGATGTAGTACAGTGTACATGCATTTCTAGGGCAGCGTCTTGCCTATTTAATTTACGGTTCTTCCACTCACAGCTCTTCCCTCTTCCTCCCATTCTCAACTGTTGCCCCATTCAAGTATACAACTACCACCTGCAAACGATTGTCCTGCTTCAACCCATCATGTCAACCCTACGATTGTCTTGATTGGAAAGTCTTTGTCTGAATGGCAAGCCCATGGCGTGTGCACAGCTTTCTTGCCACTCTTCTACAACACACGAGCCTCTTGATACAATACACGCTCTTGCACACTTCTCTGCCACGATCAATAGTAACAGCATTCATTCCAGCAGTTGCCATTAGCAAGGCCTTGACTCCATTGTCTCAAACAGCGTTCTTTACTTGCAGCAACGTGTCTTACAGCCTTTGTTACGTGGACAGCAGATAGCCATTGTATAGAAGCAGCTTTATTTACGCGTAGCAACTTTGTTCAATACATACACTCCTTATGGACATATGGATATGGATATGGATATGGATATGGGTATGGGTATGGATATGGATATGGATATGGGATGGGATGGGATGGGATGGATGAATTGGATACTGTATACATGGATTTGCTTCATCTTAAAAGAGGCACTGGAAGAGATCAGCAGCTGTAGATAGGCATCTATTGATTTGAATCATGGTAAGGAAGGAAAAGCAATAATGGATGACGTAGATGGTGCTTCCAATAAGCTGTGGATGTGTCTGTAACAGTGGTAAAGAAAATTGCAAGCAACGTGATCCGGATAGTCAACGAGCAAAACAAGTAGTTGGTGCGTACACTAGCTGCATGAACACGGTTGTTGTCCTCATTTCAAAGTAGATAAGCCATACATACACCCTTTCTCACATAGCAGGATAGCGATTCATTCAATTGTATTATAGCTGTATAGTAATAAAGCACTCATACCACTATACAATCTCCTCTCACGCATCATGCAACTTGATCTAAGCGATAGCTACGGATTGGATTCACAGTAAAATGAAGACGCATAAACAATGTTTGACCTCTTCCATCATTGAATAGAGATACATCACCCCGTATCGGAAATCTTCCAATGCATACATCTTCTTGCCAAGCGACCCTTTTGATACAAAGTTTATTTGTCAAATGAATGTCATATTCACCACTCAAGCTCAGCTACAACTGGACGATGGTCACTGATATACAAATTATCGTCAAAGATATTGCTGAGAACACCAAATCGACGTACGGTGACATTTTGGTGCTTCATCATCATGATGTAATCAAGGCGTCTAGGAGCATTGCATTGGTCTGGATCACCTGCTCCAAAGCTGGTGAAGGTATTCTTATCTCCCAATGGACCACTCATTGTTGCATGTGTATCACCAGGCTTCTTGTTAAGACGAGTGGCAAGCTCATATCGTGTATCCACAAATTTCGTGTCGGTGTCACCATCTGTGTTCCCACGAAGGTTTTGTAGGATTTGACCAGGGCGCATAACACGATGCGTTGGCAATGTCATGTTTGCATTTGGGCCCGAAGTGCGTACTGGCTCTCCCGTTTTTGTGGCATAATCAAGCTTCAATCGATCATTCAACTCCTCAAGACAATGCATGGTATCATTGCGATCGGTATCTCCACCACCAGTCAATGTTTGATAACCGGGATCATCTTCAGGGGAGTTAAGGTCACCCATCAATACCGTCAATCCAGGATTGGCTTGAACACGTTCCAAAATTAGTTGTGCGGCTCCACGTCGAGATTCCACACCTTGATGATCAAAGTGGGCATTCAACAACGTAAATTTGGATCCATCCGATTTACGTTCAAATCTATCATAGACATGTAAGACTATGTGTGTAGTATAGAAAACAATAACAATAAACGGCTTACTCGACCCAATTGGCAATACGAGGATGGCTAGCATCCCACCCTTTGCTACCAGGGGTCTCAGGTTCCTAGTGCATGTAAAAAGATTAACACCCTATCGATGAACATGATTGCTATACCCATTGCATACTTTTGATAGCCATAATGTTTTCCAGCTGTTCACCTTGAGTAGCTCACGCTTGTAGAATACTGGACAATATTCACCATCCTCATTACCATCGTTACGACCTGCTCCCACCCAATCATACTCGTCGTGTAGTAGTGATTGCAAGTCGATAACCTGATGATGTTCAGGCTCCTGCAATACACGCCATATGAGCGTCATACAACGCATGTAGCTGAAATGGATCAATCCTCAGCCTACCTGAAACCCTACAATATCGGGTGACCACAGCAGTACGGTGTCGGCTACTTTCCACTTGCGGATGGCCCATGGTTGTTCACCAGCCAATGACTCGGGAACCTCTGCTGATGTAAATGATTCCCTTAGGGATTGTGGGCCATGGTCATGGCGAATATTGAAGGTCATGAATTTCATTTTTGAAAGAAGTAAAGGTGGATGTCACAAAAGAGGAAGAAGAAGAATATGCGCGTGAAAGAAAGAGAAAGAAAAGACGACAGGACTCGAAACGTCGGAGCCCATCATTTTCTTTTGCATGACGCGAACTCCCCACTAAAGCAATGACCGGATCCAGTTATATATGCCGCTGCCATCATGTGCATATGTATGTGTGTGTGAGACAAAGAATACGTGTGTGCCCATGCTAAATGATTTCTCTCTCTATATGTATATATACCCATTTATTGTTCCTTCTTCTCGTTATCCTTATCCTTGCCACCATATAATAACTCATAGCGTTCTCGAGTTGCCTTGTCTAACATCTCCGCTCGTCCACGGCGTTCAAAGTTAACCATGTATCGATCTGACTTGTAAGCACCACCGCCCAATGCAAAGCACATGACAATGTAAAACTAAATTTGCATTCAATGTTAGCTTCATTTTCACTAGGTCTGGTTTTGTCAAACATTACCTTGTTCACAGTTTGGGTGCGTCTGTACCATGGGAAGAAGGAATACGCGAGTGCTGATGCAAATAAACCAACGCCAGCCCACTGAGCAGCACCAACAGCAAAGCCCTTCATGGCGTAGTTGCTTGCGTTATCTTGTTCTGATGCAGTGACGAGTCTCATGTTGTGTATAAAGTTGAGTGTGTGATAAAGTAGGTATGTAAAACAAAGAAAAGGAGTAAACAGCAATTGCAAGAAAATGGCACGGTTTTTCTAAATGCAGGGCTCTGAAATATTTTCCCGTCAACTTCCATTGAGTCTCCGCTTTACTTGTCAAACACAAAGTTGGCTTACCAATATCGGTGTTTGCTCCATGCTATCGGTCTCTCGTTTATCCTTTGCTATGCCATTGATCTGCATAGGCAATGGTGTGCTATGTATGATGTTGCAAAACGTATCATCCATAGAGCTGGTTTCAAAACATGGCTTTCCCGCTTAGGCGGGACATGGTTTTGCCTCCGCTTATCCGACAACAAAAGCACGGATCGCTTCCGCATGGCGACCTATCATCGTCCGCCGCACACACCCTCTCATTGCAGATCACAAAAAAACAGCCTATTGATCTGTGCGTATCTAGGATAGATAGGATACTGGATACAAACCTACAATGTTGATGATAGGAAATCGTTGATACAATAACAATCACATCCATCTTCAATGGCAGGGTTACATGATGTTTTCCTTCTGAAGAAAACATTTTGAGTCATCGAGGAACCCGATTTTTTCCAAAATGTTGGATCCCGCTTCTAAAGCTTAGCACAAATGACGTGGATGTTTCTTGACATGGTATGAGTAGTACCAATGATGTTTCCATTCCTCCCAACACAGTGTTCAGCTTAATGGTGATCATTGTTTTTGTCATTGGCATGTTTAGGTTTTAAGAATCATGCTTTGTTATAGAGAATCACGATCAAGATCTAAGTCGTAGTGTATTTGAGAATGGCAACAAAGGAGAAAAAGAAGCATTATGGGTAGGTGGGTGGGTGGTGTCAAGTAGGTAGCTATGGATTCTACACGCTCCCGTATTTGGCAAGTGCTGATCTTGACAACGATCACTTTAACTCTCGCGTGGTCAGCGACGGTGGGTGTCTTTGTGTGGAGAAGGTAACACACACATCGGCGATGCAAGTTGGGCACGACGCTGACCTCAGCTTTAATTATCCTCTTCGTTCTCAACCACAGGCACTTGATTTCCATAGTGGGGATGCAAGATTACATAAGGGTTATCCTGCTTACTCTGTTGTGTACTCTTAGTGTGCTGACAATCATATTTCAAACGTACAACAGCTATTGGAATTACTTTATCACAGCCTTGTGTATCGCCTTCCTTGGAGTATCGGTCTGGACAGCAATCGAATAACATATTACAAATGGATCCCATCGCACCTCACAGCGCCTCCATTTCGGCTTACATGAGTGTTCACAAAGGTTTGTATACGTCGCATTCCCATTGGGAGCCCATGTCCACAACAATTGACACTCGTTTATGGTATACAGCCACGAACCTCGCCTATGCAAAGCACTTTGGAAGCCTCGATACGGTTTCTTCAGCCAACTTTGAAAGCCTGAATGCTCGTGGGTTTACGTTATCTTATGTACTTGAGAATGGTGAACAAGGCGAGACGTTTATTGAATTCGCAACACCCTTGACGAGACGTGAAGAGATTCGACCTGTATTGGAAGGCATGGCTCGTGAAGCAGAGCAAGCATTAGGATGGGTAAAGATATATATCATTGCAAATGGTACAATGATTCTTACTTTGTTCGATTAGCCTAGTTCTCTTGATGGTCCACCACCCGTTGCAGCTATTGCCAAAGCAGCTTATGCAGGTGCTACCAACATGTACACTCCTCCAGATCCACCCGTCCCTCTCGATGTTTTCTATCCAGTGGCATTACGTGATGCTATCGGTGTCATTATCGTCTTTCTTCTTCCAACACTTGGGCTCAGAAATCCACGCTTCGAATCCATCTCACGTACTGTTCTAAAGGTGCTCTTTATCGCCCATGGTATCGAAGGAACGCTCGCCTTGTTGACATGTATCGGACGTGGCTGGTACAGCCCTATCAATGTGATCAAGTGGACCCTCAGCACAACCATTTTCGGATTTAGATCTCTTGGCTTGTTGAGCAAACATGGACGTCAAGTACGCGGTGTATAGTAGCGTAGACAACTTCAATGTACAATTTATTACTATAGTATCATCATCCTCAACGACTTTGAATAGTAAATTTGGGGGATGCATTGCCCGAATTGCCAAACACAACAACAATGTAATCTGATCGAGTTGCGAGATTGCCTGGGAGTGTCACATTCCATGATCCACTATTGAGTGGGAAACCAGCAGCAAGATCCCAATCTATAAACCCCCATGATTAATCACAACGTGATCCTTTCTTCATGTTGGCATCTACTTACAAAGATGCTCATCGATAGAACCTTCCTCAACATAGCCTAGCTTGATAATGCCACTATAGAAGAAGAGCGAATAATCAGATACCTTTGCAATACGGGCTCAATTTAAGATTGGCTTACTCATGGCCTTCTGGAATGGTTCTTCCATCCTTGGATGTTTTGCTCCTGCAGATTACAGTATCAATAAATGATTGTATCTCGATTTCCTGCAGGCTTGTCATTACCATTCTACAGTATACGTCTCCCCAGCTTTCCAGACTGTGTCGGAATTTGGAACATAGCTAACAAGTGGCGGTATAAGCGTTATGTTGCACGATGCAGTAGTCGATGGTGATATGAGCTTACATCTCGGGGTTATAGACGGCAGGACCAGGTGCAGCAGACACAACGGCGAACAAAAGCAATAGATAGGATAAAATACAATGCATCATGGTGTAAAGAAAAAAATGAGAAAGAAGCTAAAGCACATTACGGCACCTGTTGCCTAGATATATTAGTTTCAGCGACCTTATCTGAAACAGTCGCATGTGTGTGAAATCCATGCATTCGAATGCCGTCAGCCGACATATCTGAGACCACTATTGCGTTCTAAACGTTTCGAAGGGGGATGAGGTTTCCTCTTAACAACCTCGTACAAATGATATAATGAGACGTCAGCCGCTTTTAATCGATGGCACAAACTTAATGCTACGTGAGAGAGATGTAGTAAGGATATAGGGGTCTTCCTTTTTTTTGCGTCTATTTTCAAGTGAACCACTGCATGCATGAATGTCCCTATCGGGTATAGTAAGATCACTAAGTTCAAGAACCAAGACTAAGGGCGGCATGAATGGCATTCCTTGCAATAGCGTGAGAGTAATAATGCAATGGATGTTAAACCCACAATCATCATTCACCATCAAAGCAACCAATCTCATACCATTTTTAGTCCTTGTGGATGGATTCATTTATTGTGCGTGTGTTAAGGGATATAATGTGTTTTAAAGATTTCTACTTGCGGAGAGGTTCCATCATGCGGCGGAAAGCACCGGGGCCTGTCCAAAGACCTTTGAGCAAACCATTCCAGTAGATGGAGGGAATGATCTACAAAAGGTAGGTGTTTCCGAGATTAGCTACAAGGTATACTCATTGTGTTTTCTGATATAAATAAACTTACCTCCTTGTTGAGGTATTGAGCAGTGCTGCTGATTTGTCGTTGATCGACTGGGAAAGTTTCCATGGGTTGACCAGTGTAACCAGAGAACTCGGCAAGGACAAGTTGCTCACGACCAACAATGAGAGGGCAGCTGGTGTAACCATCATATTCATGCTCCTTGATTTCCTTGCCTTCAATATCAGCAATCAAATTAGCCTTGAGAACACCCGATTCACCAGTGATGGCAGCAGCTGTCTTGGAAGTAGGCAAGTTGGAGCAGTCTCCAAGAGCGAAAACGTTCTTGTATTTGTTGGAACGCAAAGTGAACTTGTCAACATCCACAAAGCCGGCAGCGTCAGCAAGCTTGGATTCCTTGATAAAGGTGGGAGGACCCTGAGGAGGAGCCACGTGCAAAAAGTCATAGTCAAATGTCTTGGTTTCTTGATTAGCATTGTTGCGGAAGATAGCTTGACGATCATTTGGCTTGATTTCAATCAACTCATGTTGGAAGTTAACCTTGATACCACGCTCGTCGGCAAGTCGCTGAAGCACTTGGCCATAATGATCGACACCAAAGATCTTTCCAGCACTGGTGTTGTAAGTAACATTGGCCTTATCACGCACACCTTGGAGACGGAGAGCTTCCTCAGCCAAAAAGACAATCTTGGTAGGAGCACCAGGGCACTACACATAGATCCCATCAGCATTAATTTTCACACCATCCAATGATTTTTCCATCCCTGTCAATCTTACCTTCAAGGGGGTGTTGGGGAAAGTAAACAAGGCATTACCACCCTTGAACTCTTGGATGAACTTGTAAGTCTTTTGGACGCTCTCAGGCGAGTAGTTGGAGGTAACACCATCCTTGCCCAAGCTCTCGGGAAGACCCTTGACTTGATCCCAATTGATTTGGATACCAGCAGCAACGACGAGATAGTCGTAACCCACAGTTTTACCATTGGCCAAACCCACACGGTTGTTATCAGGATCCAACTTGGTTACACGTTCCTTGATCCAGTCAGCCTTCTCGGGAATAACAGATTGCATAGGACGTTGACTTTCACGGAAATCCTTCAAACCACCACCAACATAGGTCCACAAAGGTTGATACTAAAGCATCATCATCATGATATCCATGAGTCATCATCCATTGTTTCCTTTTCCTTTTCCTCTTATCTTCCATTGTAAGGTACTTACATAATGGTAGTCAGCGGGATCAATGACAGCCACCTTGTCCTTGCCGAGCATCTTTGAGAGGGTGGAAGACACTGTTGACCAATGACAGGGCACATGAGAATCAACATGAAGCAGGATACACGCGACAATGTCACGATGGCGAGTTGAATGGAGCGTTCTTTTTACCTGACAAACCACCTGGACCGCCACCAACAACGACAACCTTGTACTTTTGGTCGGCAGCAGCGGGAGCAGCTTCAGTGGCAAAAGAACGTCGAGCGATGGAGGTGAATCGAGAGCGTGCAGCAAGCATGGTTGGTGCGTATGAGTGTAAAGGAGGAAAGAAGAAAGAGATTAAAATATGATTGGGTTTAGTTTTTTGTTGCCGAGACCGGGATGTTTAGCAAGCATATCACTATTGGTCAGAGATGAGATGATGTGCTTCGCCTGACGTTTCACTCATACCAAATCGGAACCCCGCGGATGTCAATGCATGACGAGTGCTTGCGTGTCATGAAACAATCATCCCACTTTTGCTCAGCGCTCAATGCATGTGTCAAAGGATGGAACAACATTTAAAGGAAATGCCAAGAAGCTCTGTAGGCTATGATTTATTACCAGCAATAGGCCATTGTACTTGATCCTTTAATAATAAACATCGAGCCCTTACAAGATTGGTATACAACAGAAGTGTATTTTTTTATGTATAATATGCATATCTCAATATCGCTTATGGAATGTTAGTTCTAGATCCTTGGGTGCAAGGTTGAAAGGTATCTCGAATTTGATGCCATCTTTGTGTTTTGACTCCTTTGGAAGTTCCCATTCGAATTTTCGCACTAAGATATCACTAGTTTAGCCTTTTCATCATCATGGCATAATAACAATGAACACTTACAAAGCATGGCCAAAACCACTCGTTGCTGCATAATGCTAAATTTGAGTGCGATGCATTGTCGTGCCCCGGAGCTGAAGGGTGCATAGGCGATGCCCTCATGCGAATCATGCTCACCGCCAGGAAGGAATCGATCGGGATTAAACTTTTCGGGTTCATGCCACAAATCGGGTCGGTGGTGAAGAGCTTGGATGTCAACGCTGACCATTGCGCCCTTTGGAATAAAGATGCCCTTCACATTCAAATCCTCATGTACGTCACGTGCAAGAATGTCATTTGCAGGTGGATAAATTCGCATGCTCTATACAATAGTAGTTGTTAAAGAAAGGCTACATGATGCTGTTTGTCACTATACCTCTTTGATCACCATGTCAAGGTAGTCCATTTTCTTGCAATCTTCCAATGTAGGGAATACATCCGTAGGCTCGTCACCAAGAACTCGGAGGATCTCTTCACGTGCTTTCTTTTGGATATCCTAATTGAATCTCCGGGATAAGCATTTATCCTATTTGACAGGTGTTGAGGAAGGAGGAACATACCTGATTCATTGCCAAGAGATACAAGCAAAAGGTAAGAGCATGGCTTGTGGTATCATGGCCTAAGACAAAGAGAACACCTTGCCATCAGCTTACTAGTAGAATATACTGAACTTTTGATTGATTTACCTGCAACAAAGAATATGGCCATATTGTGCTATTTATAACAGCAATTGAAATGAGGATTGGATTGTTCATCACATTTGGTATGTATTTCCAATGCTTACTCGTAGCTCTTTTTTGGTCCAGTTGCCTTCACCTCGGAGCTCAGCCTCCAACATGAGTTGAAGCAAATCCTTCTCGTGCTCAGGCACATCATTGGTATGTGAATTCGATTCGTCTTGCAGCATGGATCTCTTCTTGTCAGCTACGCCATCGAGCAAATCAATCAACTTGTAGACGGCATCGTGTTGTGCTCGGCGTTTAGCACTAAAGTATCGATAGAGACCATCAAGGCGTGGAAACACCAAAGGAATGACATTTGTGAAGCCATCAAATAGAAGACGATAGGTTTTGACCCATACCGAATCAGGGTCATCCAATCCACCAAAATCGAATCCTGGGAAGGATGATGATAGATTACTAAAGCAATCTCCAGCAACGTATAAGAAAAGTCCTTACCGAATACGGATTTGCCCAATGCATCCAACGTGAGCTTTTGCATCAACTCGAGTACAGGTACGGTGGGTTGCTCCTCAACAAGACGAAACACCTTGGGCATGAGACTGCCAAACATACCAACTGGAGTTGCTCGGTGGAAAGCAGGGTTCATGATCTGATACATAGTAGGGTTGATACCTTGTTGTTGTTGTTGTAGCATTCCTCTCCTTCCCATGACACACACTTACCTTTCGCTGATCCTTCCAATGGTGTCCATTCACAATCGATACATTGTCGTTACCAACGAATTCAATCAATGTCGTATTCTGGTCGATGCTATCAAGGACGGAACTTGTCTTGTTCGCGAATTCTATAGCCGAGGTTCAGTTCAAGTCCATGTAACACCCACCACATACCACAAGCTACACAAACGCTGGGGCCCCCCACCCACATACCTGGTTTGAAAAAGACGATCCTGGCAATTTCTGGATCTGCCACATAAATTGTCCACTGAAAAGGCATCCGATTCTAAGGTAGGTATATCATGTGTGAGAATCCTTGGATACGTGGGAACGGTATCAAGATCAAAGAAGCATACAAGGTAAACACCATTGGCTTTTGAGAGCAAGGGAAAGACTAAACGTTGCGTACGGCTGATCAAGTTTTCTTGTGATTGGAGTGCTTTAAGTTGCTGCCCATAAGGAATAGCTGGTAGATGGCGTAGGTTCTTTGGGATACGAAAGATACGGTGGTACACTTGTTGGCATACAAGCAATACAGCTGCAGCAACACCAATGTAGTGCCGGTATCGGTAGATTTGGTCTTTGATTTCAGTCATAGTTTAATAAACAAAAATTGATCCACAAAGCGACCTCTTTATACTAGAGCATGGGATATGGGGAAAAGGAGACAATGGGTCATCGCGGCCACAACGTGACAATTTTGAGTCAAAAGGAATCGGAAAGTATGCGTCATGTGCCACAAATGCAGCAACATGTATACTCCGCAACCCCATTTATAGGCACACAACAATGATGGATCACTGATTCAATACATTGCTGTGAAGCGGAAACCTTTGTTTGATGGGCAAAAGAAAACGGAAGGCAAAGGCACGTGGTACATACAACTTGCTTTTAGTTGAAAACGACGTCGCCATTTTTTGACTCAAGAGAGCCGGCGTGTATGTGCTTTGATCATTATTCACAAACAACGAAATCATTTATTACAACAATAGCTTATCATTAGAGAGGAACTCCTGTGTGAGCATAATCTTGTGATTCTACTACTTTCTTCAAACTAGGTCGTGCACTCATTGTCTCCACAAATTTGGTAAGATTGGGGTAGTCCTATGGGGATGAAGCAATAATGGATATGCCAACAATGAGTCAACGAGGAAGAAGATCAATACAGTACTTGTAGTAAGTCTTAATTTACCTTGAGATGGATAGTGCTGGGTGATGTGCTTGCAAGCACAAAGACAATAAAATCGCTGTACGTGACCTGTGTTGAGCGAACGAGCAAATCAGTAATCTACACCTTGATCCACCTATGAGCTTCATCATTTTGCTGTGCTGCTTACCTCCTCGCCTGCTGCATAAGGTCCTTGTTTTACACCATAAATGCGCTCAAAACGTTGGAGGTACATAGGAAGCTGTTCCTGTACATACTTGTCCAAGATCTCCTTTTGATCCTGCAACGTAGCTTGGTGAGCGATTTGCCCTCCATGTTACAAGCAGCTCCCATCCTACTACTTACCCTATTGCGTGCGGCATTACCATATACTTTGAACCAATCACATGCATAGTCCGACACGGTCTCGACGAATGTCTCGAGGTCAATATCGTTTGTTGGGATATACTTTCCTAAACACACAATAGTCGATAATGAATATCTTAGATGCCGGGTAGATGATGTTTACTTTTTACCTAGACTCTTTGAGAGGAATCGCAAAATAGGTTGGGCACCAGAGTACTGTTTGCCGTTTTCGAGCTTGATCATGGGTGCACAATCAAAAGGGTAACCGGAATCAATCCAACTTTGCTTTGTTTTGGGCCATGTTTGGGCAACATCAATATGGATCCACTCGTAGGGCACCTGAGCATCCTCCAGTAGCATACGGATGGGACCACCAAGCCCATTATCTATTGAGGTGATGGGTGGTTAACACACACACACACACACGCTTTACTCAGCACCTTTATAGTCAACGTTTTGACGTATACTTACAGCCAGGGAAAATATAGTGAAGTTTTAGGTTGTTGATGCTTGACATTGTAGTTGTTGGGGGGGATTTCTCTCTTTTCGAGGAGCTCCCTTTTTATGCGTCACCGGAACACGGAGGAAATTATCCGATTTGGCCCACATTGTGGAATATGATTGGGAATACCATATGAGTCAAAATCCACCACTACTCGGGGCCACCATCGCCAAGCTACATACCTTGTAGATCGCAATGTAACACCATATTGCATTGATTTGTGTTGTCGCATGACGTTTCCCTTAATGATAGGACGACATGGCTCAGCCCGGATCACTTTACGACAAAAAAATGATTCATGCAGTAGATCAGCCAATAAGCTGGTACTTTGCAATTGCACCATTTTGCGTTTCTTAAATGGGTGGTACAACAACTCGATGCATAGGGGGGTAACCTGCATTGAGCAAAGATCAAGATAGATGATCCACCAACACGCCAACGACCACCCACCTTGATTAGTAATCAGTCAATGAAATCGAATCCAAGGAGTATTGCAATGAGTGATTATGAGTTCGACTCTTTATTGAAATGCTACGTTATGAATGAAAAACGTTAAATGGTAGCAGGAGACAATGACAGCTGTCGTCATGGTAACGAACATTCGTTTTGTTGGATTGAATGATCCATGATGAATATACATCACGAGCCGCCTGTTACGCAAAAGATACCCTTTGAAATTAAACAACAAGGGGAGTTGGATTAGTAATTCATGCATCCTTTATGAAAACCATGCCAATATGGATGCCCATGGATGATGTGGTTGTGCTTATTGGCGATTACAATCGTCCGCTAGATCATGAGAATACTATCAGCTATACAATTACCATAGCTATCTCTAATGCCAAAGTGCAAACATGTCCCTAGCTATTGTATGGTGCTACTTTGTGGGGTTTGCATAAAGCTAGTGATATGCGTTTAGACCTCCCTCTGCTATTCCTCGTATGCAAAGCCATAAAGCTCGGTCCGAACAAGCCCGTTGCTATGAAGAGTGATCCATAGTTGCATACGCGATTGATGCATATTCAAAAAGTCGGGATCCATTAAAGCACGTGGATGAGTAATGCATCTAAGCCCGCATAGCAAAGATATCATGATATTGGCCAAGAAAGAAGAACATGCCTCCAAAGATGAACGTTGACTTAACATGGCTCGTGTAACAATCCTGCTTATGGAAGTCGACCCGAAACACGCGTTCAGCATTACTCCGGATACCTATCGAAAAGCTGCATACCACGATGAATGTACTAGAACTTGAAGCATCGTGCTGTTATTGTCACTTTGGCAACATTTTGAATCTTTTGGATGTTGACTTTTTTTTAGCAACGCGGCTGAAGCTCAGATGCTGCTGAGGTCTAATAAATCATGTGGAATGATTGTTTGGACGTCTCTTGTCGTTTCACTTTACGGCAACATGCTTCTGTGCTTGATGAAATATGGTTTGTGCAACGCTTGGTATTGTGTGGGAAAGAAAGAAAAGGGATGCAGGGTTGTAAAGGGATTGGGGATCATGACCACCACCACGTTGGTGAATGGTATTGGCTGTCATCTCAATGCAGTGTTATGTATCCCCACATAAGCCCAAAAGTCAAATGATGGGGCTCGTTTGTAAAGTGGGAGGTGAATTAAATGGGCGATGACGGATGCTTGCGTGATATTGCACAAGCGACTTTAATGCTGGTGAAACGCGGGATTCAAGTGTGTGCGGGGTGGGGAAATGGAGGCATGGAGGACATCTGATTATTCAGCAGAACCTTCTGGTAGTCTCAAGTATGCATGGTTAGGTTGTATCTACCCCAACCACGAACAACGAATATAAAAGGGAGCGCGTTCGAAAAAGCTGTCATCATCATTCATCCACAACAAACATCAAACATGGTCTTCTCTTCTGTCAAGCTCAACTACCTTCTTCCCAACTGTAAGGCAACGCGTTGCATTGTTGATGTTATTATGCAGCCTATTCATATACACATTCATCATAGACGGTGGCTTCGGTGGCCCCATCCGCATGTTGCTTGATGATGCCGAGATCAAGTATGAATACAACCTCATTGACAGAGAACAATGGCCCACCCTCAAGGCCAAGTGGACCGAAGAAGGTCTTCCTTTCGATTGTGTTCCTATGATTGAATTGGATGGCAAGCGTTACGCCGGTACTCAACCCATCCTCCGTTTCTTGGCAAAGAAGTTGGGTAAGTAAATGTTGCTAAAAGTGTGGGGATAGAGGGAGGATGAGGAAAAAGGGATCAAGCGGTGATCGCGATATCATCGGGCCGAGTAGCATCTTGGGTTTCGGTCGCTAATTGAATTTGTATTACAGGCAAGTATGCTCCTGCTGATGCTGATTTGGAGCAATACGTTGATGTTACTGCTGACTATGCTGGTGACTGGGCTCGTGCCGTTTTCAAGGCCATCTTCAACCCTCCTGTGAGTATATAAATCGATGATGTGTGATATGAGACTGACACTGGTTATGTATAAAGAACGGCATTGATGAGTACAAGAAGAACGACCTCGAAAAGTACTTTAAGCGTTTCGATCGCATTTATGGTGCTCACAAGGGTCCCTATGCTGCTGGCGAGGAGGTAATATCTAGATTGGGAGAATGGGGTTGTAATAGATCGCATCACTAACTCTCTTTATTTTGCGCTGCTAGATCTCATACGCTGACTTTGTTGTCTATGTTGTCATGAACCTCGAAGCTAACAAGGACTCTATCAAGGACTACCCCAACCTTGCTGCCTTCGCTGAAGCCATCAAGTCCCGCTCTGGTCTTCAGGAAGCTGTCAAGCAAATCTAAATAATATGATACCTCGAAAATAAAAACCGTGTTTTGTCTTCTAACTCAATCCACACGTGAGGTCTCTTTGTGATTGAAATGTAGGTCGTGGTGGGGAGCGAATTGACAGCTATAACTCCTACTGCTTCTTACCCATCATGATGCATAACGTCCTTAGGACGATACATACATGCGTTTGATCCTGATAGTTGACATCCCACATACACTCATCCACTCTCAATAGAAAACCCCATTGCTTTTGCCCCACCCTTTTCCCCATCCTCCTCCTCTACAGCACTTTGAACATATGCTCTTCATTTGTTCCTTCATGTTGACGTTGTATTGTTGCTTGATTTTAAGGTAGAAAAGATAACAATGCCAATAAAAAAAGGGGTGGAAACGATATACAAGTGGAAAAGGTTGGCTATAACAAAGCACATGCGACCACTAGGTATACACGCCTTTGAATGCATCACGCGAGAAAGTTCACGGCTGCTGCTCACTTGGTTGACTTGACGTTGCCGGCGATCGTCCATTGGAAGTGGGAAGAGGAACAACGACCAAACGAATAAAACGTTTCAAATCCACAGTTGCACCCCACCAATTTTTTGCTACGGTGTCGTTCATTCACCTAATGTCGAAGCTCATGTGTGCTGTGTGTGTCATGGGTGCGTTCCTCTGGTGTTGGAATGGTTGAAGTGATGGCAAGTTGTGTAGCGTAAAGCTGGGCTGAAGAAAGGCGGTTTCCATTCTGAGCGCGAAATTCGTTGATGGCATTGCATAAGTACAGCGTCAGACGATGCCAATATCAAATGGATATGTATGTAAACATCAACCATAACGAAATGTTTAACATGTCGCTCAGAGCTTTTTACTTTCATCCAACTTCTTTGATTCATAATACCAAAAGCATCACCCCTAGAAAGAATGGCACCTAATGATCATGAAGGATCAAAACAACACGTTGTAAAAATGATATGATGGATGTGAAGCTGACACAAAGATCAAGGCAATGCACAGCTAGGTTCATGCATGGTGGATTAGTAATCGGACAGGTTGCCGTGGCAACCGGATAGTGCTCTTATGGCTCATTAAAATGATGGGCCTGGTGATTGCCATGGGAACCAACTCGCATTATTGCGTGATATTGTTGTGTTGCACCAGTAAAAGGATGCTGATTGGATAAAGTCAAGAAGTAGTTTGCTGCGGAAACGTGTTGTAATTAATAATCAACAGCAACGGACGTTTGGTAATGTAATCCGTATATGGCGATGTTTGAAGCCTGCATATTGGCTAGTATGATTCCGGTTAGGTTTCAAGGCTCTCCAAAGAAATACAAGAAATGATAAAGTTATAAAAGAGAGGCTGCATCAATGCATGATTGCAGTACTACTACGACGCGTCCGAAACACTGATTTTCAAGACACTATGACTGATTCAATTGCTGTCTCGCTTTATTACATCCTCCCAGAATGTAAGGTTGTCAAGGATATAGTTTGATCAAACACTCATTGGATCCTCATTTTCCATATCCAAAAGATGGTGGGCTTGGAGGGCCAATTCGACTGATGCTGGATGATGCTGGTGTTTTCTACGTCTTCAACTACATAGAGTATTACGAGGAATTTCCTAACAAGGTCAAGCCGCGTTGGATCGAGGAGGGTCACCCTTTTGATTGCGCACCAATGATTGAATTGTATGAAAAACGCTATAGCGGTACACAGCCAATCCTTCGCTTCTTATCCAAAAAGCTGAGTAAGTTGATATTGATCGCTAGCAATGTTGGGTATACAGTCATTGAACAATACGTGCCATTTGTCTATGTAGACAACAAGTATACACCTGACGACTTGGATCTAGAACAATATGTGGATGCAACGACTGATTATGCCGCTGACTGGATCCAGGCATATTTCAATGCCGCTTATAGAACGGTAATGTGGCTGTGTTGCCATTACAATTTATGCAAAGACGTGTACTAATTTGGGCGTATTCTACAAAACCACAGCTTAACGTGAAGGAATACCAACAAAATGACTTGAAAAGGTATCTCGAGCGATTTGATCGCATCTACAGTGTGCATGAAGGTCCATATGCTGCAGGCCAAAAGGTAAGAATGTTTGGATTGTGGATGCCTACTAGGCGCGCGTGATGTTGAGAACAGGCGTGTTCACCATACATAAAACTATTATGATAGATCTCCTACTGTGATTTCTTTGTTTACATTGTCCTCATGGTTGATGCTCACAAGGAATACATCAAGGATTATCCCTACTTGGTTGCTCTAGCAAAGGCGATCGAATCGCGTCCAAACCTTCAAAATGTGGTGAAGCAGTTATAGTTGAAACGTTTGTCACCTATATATAAATATCGAACTTTGTCGCAAAAACCTCACAAACATGAACGAGGCTCGTTTTCCTCTCATCATTAACATGCAGTAGTCACTTGTCTGCTGACTTCAATAAACATTGTGATATCATTTATACATACATACAGGCTTTTTGAGTCATCAAGGGATGGATGTTGTTTATTGCAGCCTTCATTTTTAACAGCAGCTGCTCTTTGTTGCACACTTTTGGGCGAGCCGAGTGGCGATAACTCGAGATTTCATCACATCGCCTCGTCGATTTTAAGCATGATAGAAAAAAGGTCCTCATGGTATTCAAGTTTGTTCCCAAACATTTGACCGCGTATGATGCATATCATGAGCGTTGCTATATCTTTATACTACCTCATGTACAACGGCGACCAGTACTAATGATCGGGCTGTGCGTGCAACATCTGCAAGACGGCAGTTTAATGGCAGCTGAGCATCATATGACATGCAGCATTGATCTATCAACGGTAAATGGGACATGATTACACAAGGTTTCAAAAGTAAATATAAAAGCATGCAACATGAGCCCCTCCTTTTTACTACCCAAACTTAAAATACCTCAACATGACAATCTCTGGTCTCAAGCTGCATTACGTTGTTGCCGACTGTAAGTGAAAGCAGTAAGATTGCATATGGGGATGCTCATCACTACTATACTATAGATGGTGGATTTGGTGGTCCTATTCGGATGCTCCTTGATGATGCAGGCGTCGATTATGAATACAATTACATCCCCTTCCATGAGGAATTCCTTACCAAGGTTAGGTACCAGTGGGTCGAATCAGGTCACCCATTTGACTGTGCACCAATGATTGAATTGGATGGCAAGCGTTATGGTGCCAGCCAGCCCATTATTCGTTTCTTGTCAAAGAAATTGGGTAAGCATTGGATGGTTATCCATTTATGATGCAAATGTTAACCATGTATATAGGTAAATACATCCCAACCGATGACCTCGATGCCGAGCAGTTTGTCGATGCCACCACTGATTATGCCATGGATTGGGCTCGCACCGTGTTCAGGGCTAAATACGTTGGGGTAAGCAAGCTATTTGGTTGTTGACATGATAAGCATACGCTGACATTGTATTTTACGTTGAAAGGGAGAAGAAGGCCTAGAGGAATACAAAAAGACAGAGTTGGACAAGTTCTTTACGCGATTCAATCGCATTTTTGGTGTGCATGAGGGACCATATGCTCTTGGTCAAGAGGTAACTATCATAATGACAATGAGCTATTTCGAGGACAACAAGCACTTATACCTTTATTGGCTATGTAGATATCCTATTGTGATTTCTATGTCTACATTGTAATGAGCACCGGGCCCAACAAAGAGTTCATCGACAAGTACCCCAACATGGCTGCCTTAGCAGAAGCCATCAGAGCACGTCCCAACCTTAAGGAAGCTTTGAAGCATTTTTAGTTGAATGATGATGTTGAATAAATACGTGATGACGGGTGTTACACTCGATGCAGGGTGATGTGTTTTTAGGAGGGGACAAGCAAATTTGTATCGGCCCAGCGCTGTTTGTTTTTCCTTCCTCTCTCTCTCTCTCTCTTTCTTGCTCTTTCAAAATGGCTGCGCTTCAATCACCTATTGACATGGATATTTCAGACGGCTCCAACAGCGATATGGATGTGTCCGAGAGTGATCAAGAAACTGAATCTGCCCCAGTCAAATCCCTGTCATCGAAGCAGGCGACCACGTACACCCCAATTCCCCCATTTACCTCGTCGCAGTACTATCCAAGGCCTACATCAGACGCTGCCATGCTAAGCTATGCTCCTGGAAACCAGTTTGGATCGAATACTCAAAGTATGTTGACGGATACCCGAACGAATATGATGAATCCTTTCTTCGTAAGTGATACTAGTATTGGGGCCTTTTCGATCTATGTTATCTAACAAAGTATGTGTATTAGTTTGGAGGTGGAGGTGGAGGTGGAGGTGGATATAATCAGCCTATTTCAGCAAAGCGATCCATTCATCTGAATCCATACATGGCAAATGGGGGGATGGAGAGTCGCGATAAGAATGCTCGATGGCGACAGCAGCAGGAACAACGAACCAAGTCTCCTAAGCCTACGACAGCAACAACATTGGATCAGCAGCAGCAGCAGCATTTGGATGACTCCGATGCGGATTCTTATTACACGGCAACGAGTGACTTTGAAGAGGATGAGGAGGAACCTGGTTTAATCAAGACGGATCAAGATGAAATGGATGGTTTGCAAGCTGAACTTCATCGATATAAGCAAGAAATCAGCACGTTGGATGAACGACTTGATGAGATTGGAAGGAAGAAACAACGACTCGAACAAGATGTGTTACGTCTACGTGTTCATCAATCAATGAAAAAGAATCGAAAACGGGTTGCCAATCAGAATACCACCACCACGACCACCACCTTGGATCGTCACCAAAGCAACTCGCCTTCTCAAGCTACTACCACTACAGCCATACCCAATCCAATCAAGGCAAAGCAAGAACAACAACAACAGCAACAAAAGCAACAAAAGCATATCACCGTATCGCCTATATCCAAAACGAACCATCCTGCAATTCAGCAACCAATGCCACGACCTCCTGCAGCTTCCACAGTACCACCTTCTTCGCCTGCTGTATCAGTGCCACCCTATAAGATGCAACCACCCAAAGTCAAACCAGTCGTACCACCTCCTGTTGCTCCTGCACCGAAGCCAGTCAACACGAATCATACCTCTTTCGCTAGTCATCATCGTCAATGGGTTGCACCTTATGTTGCCACTTCTTCCAATACCAGCTCTTCTCAATCGCCTGGCAAGAATGCAAATTTCATGACCATACCACCGACAAGTCTATCCACACGTTCACCGGCAGCAGTTACTACACCAAAGACAATGACACCGCCATCAGTAGCTACTCCACCAAAAGCAACATCATCATCAGCTGCAGCGGCTACCACAGCAAAAGTATCACCACCTGAAGCCTCATCATCAGCAGTAAAGGAAGCATGGCTAGTGGAATCAATACCAAGGGCATATGCAGCACCATTAAGAGGACCTAAGGAACCGCCACAAGTAAAAGAAGCACACGTCGTAAGGAATTAATAGGGACCCTATGGCTGATCGTACTCTGATATACCTTTTTGAATAGAAGCAACCAGAAGCATCATCATCAACAGCAGCAGCAGCACCAACATCAGAGGCAAAGAGACACAAGGTATACTAACTTTTTATTTTTTTCATCATCATCGTCCTATCTCGGTTGTTCTCCTTAAAAGGTGTATCCAACGTAGGGTACTTTCAAGCCATACGAATCACCATTGACAAGGCTAGGCATCGGTAGTCAAAAGAAAGCTCTTCCAATGGATCGAGTGAAACGAGGCCTTTGTCGGTTTGAAGCGGGTGGTGGCACGTGCAATGATGACACGTGCCGTGATTTGCATTTCAGAGATCTGGAAGGTACATCATCATCATCTCACTAACTCTTTGATCATCCTGCTGTAGTAGCAACTCGTATTTAGTGGGAGGGTAAAATTGCTTTTTTTAAAAAAAGGGGTGTCTACTACTACTACTACTACTAGTCTATTACATGAATCATACTTTTTTCCCTCTTTTCAAAAATGGATGGCTTCTATTTACATAAAAAAATATCGTCTTTTACCAAATTTAATAATATCCTCGCATCTCATTGACCACGGCTCGCTCTCTGTCCTTTGTCATCTCGCCATAACCAATAACACGCATAGAGAAACTGCCACTGCCACCTGTCAAGCTGCGTAATGCGTTTGAATAGCCAAGCATCGAGCTAAGGGGCACGTGGGCCTTGACCACTTGCTTTGCTTTGTATTCTCCAATATCACCATTGCCACTTGTAAACGCATCGGGTGGTGCATAAACTTCAACATCATCGGTTGCTGGATCTTGCTCTGTATCCATGGATGATTCCAAGCCAATCACATGACCACGACGTGTGCCACTAAGGTCGCTCACCACGCTGCCAATGTCGTTTTCGTTCACTTCGGTATGTACTTCCATCATGGGCTCGAGAAGACAAGGGTTGGCTTGTTTGATAGCATCTTGGACACCTCGCGAAACACATGCCGAGATACTTCCCAATGTTGTATCCGCACCAAAAGTTTCGAGATCTTGCACACTAACCTTGACTTTGGTCAAGGGAAAACCAAGAATGGCTCCACGAGCGAGACCTGAAGCAAGACCCGTTTGCACAGCACGTCGTATATCATCTTTGCTGAATTGCATTTGCTGATTATTGTCTCCTTGTTGTTCGGATGATGACGATGTTGTATCATTGTCTTTGGGTAATTCGATATGCATGTAGTTGCCTGAATCATGAATCCATCCTTCTTCAACGGGTTCTTCGGGATCCACCGATTCAAGGTTGATTTTGCAGTTGGCACGTGATCGTTTTCCCATGACTTCTTTATCAAACACACTGGAAACGGATATAGGCGATTGACATGTCTCACGATAACTGATACGCATCTTGCCCATCTCAGCTTTGCACTTGAAATCATTGATCAATCGATCCTTGACAATTTCAAGATGAAGTTCACCCATACCACTGATCAATGTTTGGCCACTATCTTGATCAGTCCACACCTTGAGCGATGGATCCTCTCGAGTGAGATTCTTGAGTGCTTCATCAATGACCTTTTCTTCGGATACGGACGCGGGTTCAATAGCAGAGAAAAATGCAGGGCTGGGAATATCGATGTTGCCAAGTTGCATGCCCGACTTATCATTGAATTGAACAAGGGTATCACCCGTACGTGTATCTCGAAGACCAACAATGACACCAATGTTGCCAGGGCCAATGGATGGGATCTCTTCAACGTCCTTTGCGTACATTTGCAACAATTTGTTGACACGCTCTTTGCTATGAGTAGTGCTATTGAATAGCGTCATACGGGTATTGATTTTGCCTAGCAACCCATCGAATGTTAGTTTTGGCTATCCTGTTTTCATCTCGCCTCGACCCAACGACTTACCAGAATACACCTTGACATAGACCAAAGGACCGCGTCGTGCATCATGTGTCACCTTGAACGCCAATGCGCATAATTTGCCATTTTCCGCCAGCGGAACTAGAGCACTTTTGCCACTGTCATAGGTTGCCAACGCAGCAGGTCGATCCATAGGCGATGGAAGATAATCCAAGACAGCATCCAAAACGGGCTGTACACCAATATTCTTGAAAGCTGTTCCACAGAGCACAGGCACTGCTTTGTTGTTCAATGTCACCCGTCGCAATGCTTCCTTTAGAGAATCCGATGTCACTTGTAAATGATCGGCACCGGCTTCTTCCAAAAAGCTCTCGACCATGCCATCATCCATTTCAGCGAGTGCTTCAACAAGAGCTGTGCGTCCACGTACGGCTTCTTCCCATAAGGCATCCTCTTTTTGTAAAGGTGTACGTGTCATTTCAAGGCCGTCTTCCCCTTGCCATGTCACCATTTCCATCGTCACAAGATCAGCCACAGCGACCAGGCCCTTATCTTCTTGCATCAAGGGGACTTGTAACACCAAAGGACGTGCTCTCAACTTTTTCCAGATTTCCAACACGGTACGTCCATAAGCAGCACCTGTGCGATCCATCTTGTTGACAAAGGCAATGCGTGGAACACCATAACGATCCGCTTGTCGCCATACAGTCTCCGTTTGTGCTTCCACGCCTGCAACACCATCCAAAATCGTCACCGCACCATCCAAAACACGTACGGCTCGCTCCACTTCAATGGTAAAGTCCACGTGACCCGGCGTGTCAATGAGATTGATGCGATGCCCCTTCCATCCAAATGTAATGGCAGCGCTGTTGATCGTAATGCCACGTTCACGTTCGGCCTTGAGATAGTCCATCACAGTATCACCATCATCGATATCTAGGTTCAGTCTATCAGATATCAAAGGATCATCATCATGACATGCACCATTTTTTCTTACCACCAATGCGCTTGGTAACACCAGCATAATACAACATACGCTCCGTTGTCGTGGTCTTGCCTGCAAAAGGTTCCCTGTCAACAATGAAATCTCTTTCCCTCTCCTTATTTGTACTTTGTTTACCTGCATCAATGTGTGCAATGATACCAATATTACGGGTCTTGGGAAGTGTAAAGTCCTTGGTACCTATACACTCTGCAGTTGGTAATCGATCGACTTTTTGAAGGTCATTGAAATACAAACCGGAAGCAAATGTTCGTTTGGACGTTGAAATCAAGTAGGCCAATGGCGTCTTTAACGATACGACTCGACTCTTTTGACGACAGGCAGTCGAAGCCAGCAAAGAAGTCAACATGATGTGTATGCAATGAGCGGCCGATTCGAATGCTGCTGTTTAGTCGGTGGTGGACGGGGCCAAAAGAACAGGTTGTGCTACTTGCTCGTGACTCGGTCTCGAATGCATGATTGCAAGGTTCAATTGTCAAGTGCACGTGATTTGATCCAGCATTGAATACAAGCTTTGACCCTGAACGAGCCACGGTAGCCAAGTTTTCTATTCTTGAAGATGGATGGTCCAGGAGCTTATAGTTAGACAATGCGGCTACTAGCTTAGTGTTTTATCTCAATATACTTCTTGAAAATGTATACGGATGATGCTTAAGTTATTATGCAAGTGGCTCGAATACCATAAGCTGAGGGATTCCTTTATATATGTATCGTATGTATTGCTGGAGCAGTGCTCATCTATGTCGTAAGTAAGGTATGGAAAATTGTGATCTTGAAAGTATCCTTTTGCATGCATTTGCCGTTGCCATGGGAACAAAATTGTTGCTATGCTCCCACTTACCAATGTTTCCATGGCATCTATATAGTTGCAATCCTTCACTTATCAGTGACAATGATATTGAAAGTCGAGATGATGGTGTATCTTTATTTGTCATCAAATCGAAGATATGAAAAGGGATACCAGCAGCAGTGGTAATCGAACCACAATGACAGCCATCTATATTATCTATATTCGCACATAGACATAAACTTGGAAATGTAGTATAACGTTGGTATCTTTTATGTGGCTGACCCAAAGTGAAAAGAGAGAGGTAAGGTACACAAGTAATGCACAGCGACCATTCATTCCGCCACTGATCAAAAACATTTATCAGCGACTGAAATTTCTGACACAGACCTCTTTATTGCCTATATACACTACCTATGGAGGTCGATCACGCATCACGGGTCGTTCTACCGGGCGATGTCATACACGAAGCAACCAACAATGAGCAGCAAGGAGTGATCACGCTTGGTCCTGGTTTGCGTCAAGATGGCGAGCACATTGTAGCAACCAAAGCCGGCATGCTCAAACACGCACCTCCCATGCGATGGTGGATCGAGAGCAATCAAAAGCGAGTATGTTATTCTATGGACGCAAGGAGTGACCGTTGTATGATATACTTACAAAGCTTATAGTATATTGCAGCTTCGGGAGAGTCCGTCTTGGGTGTGGTGACAGCCAAGCTTGCCGACTATTATCGCGTTGATATTGGTACAGCACATACAGCAGTATTACCAGCACTTGCATTTGAAGGCGCCACCAAACGCAACAAACCTAATCTTGTACCACGCACGCTTGTCTATTGTCGCATTGCCATGGCCAACCGAGATATGGAAGCCGAGCTTGATTGCATTAATCCAACGACGGGCAAGGCTGATGGATTTGGAGAACTCAAGGGTGGATACATGATCAAATGCTCACTGGGTCTCTGTCGACGGTTACTGGATGCCAACACACCCATCTTGCAATTGCTTGGAGAACATTTTCCTTTTGAATTGGCAGTCGGCATGAATGGTCGTGTGTGGCTTAATTCCAATAGTACCAAGGATACCATTATGCTCGCCAATGCCATCCTCAACTCGGAATACCTTAGCGAGGAAGAATGCAAAGCCATGGTCCAAGGATTGATCAACAGAGCATAATCATCATCATAGCAACATTTGTATATAGAAAGACAGAAATGTTTATAAAACGATCACTGTGATACACGTAATGGGGTGAAAGAATAATACTGTGGATCTTTTACAAGAGAAGCAATGCCATGGGAGATGAAAATGAATGATGTATATACGTATGTGCGAGTGTGTTTGTGTGTGTATAGGATGAGGGAATATAACATGGTGTCAAAGGAAAAAGTCTGCAAAGAGAGATGATTCAACAAGAGTCCTATCATATCCGTTGACCTAGAAGAGGATGATTTAGCAATTGAAAAACACACGCATTGTTGTTTAAAGCAACCTACCAGACATAGATCGCTGATCCATCATTGAGAATCGACTTCCTGTATTCAAAGGAATAACACCTTGCACACCACCACCACCACCACCTTGTTGTCCTCGGAATGGAGGTGGACTAGCACTTGTATGATGACTACTTGCTGCATCGGCTGCAATATTCATTCGTGCCCTGAGAGCACTCTTGCGTTGTGAGTGCATGGGTTCCAAGTTGCTTGTGGGTGTGCTGCCACGCGTATGAACACCATTCACCATGCCAGCATTTATCAAGAATTGTTCATCCGATACATCTTGTTCAGGAGCAACAGCAATCCCTGTGCGGAATGTCTTTTGTGGTTCACGATCTGGTAACACAACACCACGTCGTCCACGTGCTTGGCGTCGCTTCCTTCGAGCATCTCGCATACGATCCTTTTCGATTTTATCAAGCTCAGCATCGGTCAATTCCAAGATAGCAGGTGTAAATCGTTCCACTGAGTCAAGATCACGAATAATGGATTTAAGCGATGGTAGAAAACTTTGTCGTAATTCATCATCCGATATAGGTGTCCCATCGAATTCATAACCAACAAGGAGTAATGATTTGATGTAGCTGTGTGCTTGCTCACGAATCGAATGTGCAATAGCCGTTCTATTGTTTTTGTATTGTTAGAATGACACTTTGCATTGCTTTTCTTTCGAAATCACTTACCTGAATTCACCTCCAAGTCCAAGCTCTTTGGTAAGTTTATCGGCAAACTCCTCAGCATCATTTCGTTGACATGCAATATCCCATTCAAATTGATCCAGCAGCGCACGTTTCCCAACAGTGATATCAAGCTAAAAGAAAAAAGAGAAAGTTAGCACATCGTTTATAAAGAAAATCCAATGATTACCTTTATCAGCATTCGTAATTCTGTATGCTTCCTCTTTTTGCACTCCAAATCCTTTTCGTTCTCATCGACCTTGACAACAATATTGGATGGCTCATCACTGCATTGTGCCATAAACTCCGCAGTCTCCTTTTCAGCATCGGAACCATCTCCATCCATTACTGCACTGCCAGCATTGAGATAATAGTCTTCCAATTGATCATGGATGCCACGTGAAATAAGAGGTACAAATGTCGATGGAGGTAGCTGCAAATCCTCACACATGATCTCGGCAAATTGTTCAGGTGTAATAAGGGTCTCTACGATATAACAAGGATGATGATGATGAACAATGATGAAATTTAGATCTTCAATCTATCACTTACCATGCATATTCCAAGTGAAAGTGTCACGTAGCTTGTATCCATCCACTTCGAGCTCAAGACGAATGGGCACCAAAGTATCATCTTTTTCACCTTGTTCGACGAGTTGATCATGCCGACTAGGATTCGGGGATCAGACTTTTTTGTTTCACACTTTTGGGGAGTGGTCTTTTTACTTACAATCGAAGTTCACGTGATCTCCTCAATCGTTTACGTTGATTTGGATAAACCACGCGTGTTTCCAATCCTGAGGGTTGATTGCCACCACCGGTATATCCAGGACCGAATACAGGAATGGGACCAGCACGCATTCTTGTTTGTCTTTGACGTTGGATCCAATCAATCTCACGCTTCTTTTCCTGGGCCAATGCAATATGACGCTTATGTTGAATGTTGAGTGCTTCTTGATAGAGTTGATCACGATGTTGGAAGATGAATAGGTTCTTTTTGCGTGTCTCGGTGTCAGCAGCTATCGGTTCAATTTGAGGTACCATTGAATTGTTCACGGCAGGCACAACAGGCGCTCGTGTTGCCAACTGAGCTGTAGTGGTAGTTGCTGCTGCTGGGACCGTAGGCGTACTACCTCCACTACCTCCTCCTAACTGGGTCATCTTGCTCATGGGGGATCGTCCCATAACATTCATTAGCTGGTGTTGCTGTTCTGGTATAGGCCATGGCGCTTGATTGGGTGGCAATGCGCCTGGGTACATGGTGGGTTGGGAGAAGCGTTGTTGTTGTAGTTGTTGTTGTTGCTGGAGTTGCATGTTGTACATTGCAGCGAATTGTTGTGGGTGCTGCTTCATATTGCCTGAGGAGAGGTGCATGTTTGGGTGGGTGGTAAAGGACAAGAGAAAAGGTCAGTGGATAAAGTGATTCATTCAAGCGTGTGGATTGATGAGAAACAGGGGCTGGAGGAATCAGTGTGTGTGGGTGTGTGAAAAGAACAACTTGTCGAATCTTATTGGCTACCCATCACCATCCTTCCTTCTCATATGCAATCGAAGGACTTCTTTGAACTCTCGCCATGTTTGTACTTTAGGCATCTTTCAGTGCAACATTCATCTTGAACAACGGCTGTTCTTGATTTATACATATGTCATCATTGGATTCTCTAGCAAAGAAAAAGCCTTGCCTATCTCCCTTGGAACAACTTTAAGGAATTTGCATGGATTGCTTATAAAATCATATACAATCTCCATTTCCCATTGTATAATCCTTCGCTTGATTGATAATACACACAAAGACCACCATTCACTCCATTACTCGATCGATTGATAGTATTCCGCGCAGAGACCATTATACGATGATGACAACAGACAACGAATCTTTACTGGTAAAATTCTTCTAAACAACGGGCTTCTTCTTTTCAAATTGCACGCCTGGAACATGATGAGGATGGAATACACGCTGAATAAAGGATACTATGTGTAAGAACAGTAGCCATTTACTCATCTCTCCGTTGTATCATAATTACCTGGGCGTCAGCATAGGCCACACCAAAACCCCAACCGGTGGTGATAGCAATAGGCCATGTTCGCTCTAAATAATCCATCAGCTATCCTACTTTGAACGCGTATTGACAAGCGATATACATACTCTTGAACAACAAAGCTGAAGCGACGATGCCAGCGCTTAAACCCAGTCCAGTCTTGACGACGATATTGGAGATTACTTGGTCCCACTACAGATTGACGCGCATGTAAGCTAATGACGTACACTCTCACCCATGGCGATGGCCTCTTACCTTGTGAGAAAGCAGATCTTCACTGGGCACCTTACCCGACATAATTACTAAGTGAACTTGGAAAACAAAAAAGAAACCCCCCTTCTGCTCCGGGCAACTTTCATGACGTCGAGACAACTCCGCGATTTGGGCTTCTTCAACAAGAGGTTGTGCCAATACATACATAGTACATACCTACCCATCATGCTAGCTTTGTCATTATTGTATATAAGATAGGAATGAATAAAACAACATGCAAACCAACAACTCTTTTTACGCTCATGTTGGATGCTGAGATTAGGTTTTGCATGCATCTTTGATACCAAAAAAAATGGCTTTATCATGAATGTGATATAACTTTTATATATGTTGGATCGTTTACTGCTAGTTTGAGAGAGCCATGAGGGATACAAGATATGGTCAATGGTCAATGGAGTGGGGACCCATTTTTGGGGTCACTTCCATGCAATGAGGAACGTTTATCCGATTTCATCTGCGTAGTCAATTGATCAAACACTCTCTTTCGTGTTTATCATGGCCTTGTTGGTAAAACCCAAAAACTACATTTGCTTCGAGCGTAAGTGTTACACTACCCTTCTTCAACTGTCATTCTAATGTGGGTATCTCTATCTAGGACCTTTGACGCGACCTGATGTACAGCAGCATTTCGTGATCAAGAACCCAGACGATCGGCATCCAGTAGCGTTCAAGATCTTGACTAATGCCAACACTCGTTATAACGTGCGTCCTCCTTTTGGTCTAGTTGACAAACAATCAGAAGTGCGTGTAAAAGGTGAGTTGCCATACACGACGGTATCCATGGTGTATTGCATGCTTACGGTTGGGTTGGGTTAGTGACGATGGTTCCTTATGACGAAGAACCGCTTGATCACTGCACCGATGCATTTCTAGTGAGATCCGCCAAGGTCAGCGAGGATCAATTGGATATCCCATTTCGAGAAATGGTATGGATTATCAAGGGATGATGATGGAGAATGACATGTCACTGATGATGATGATGATGATATCTTTTTATTTAGTGGGTAGCCGCTTCACGTGAAGGCCTCCATGAACATCAACTCAAATGCGTTTACCTTGCGAATGGCGTCAGTCCAGAGAATGCGAGTGAGTTTGAAAACAATGAAGAAGAGCTATCTGAACACAATGAAGAAGAGATGTCTATATCAGAAAATGACGAGGACTTCCCATTACCAACGACGACAGAGATACCAAGAGCACATCATGACGAGGAGATACCAGTATTGCATAACAAGTTGAGTGAATTGAGTCAAACAATGCTGGCTCATCAACAAGAAATGATCAACATGCGGTTACAATTATTATACACACGCCAACAAAAAGATTTTCGACGAGCCATTCGTGCGTTAGCAGTGGTGGTATTATGCATATTGATAGGTTATGGATCACGTGGGTTGTTATAAGGATGTTGTTCAGTCGTTGTATATGTAAGAGTCATTGCTATGGATGCATGGATGCAAATTTATTTACAAAGGAAGAGGGATTCATGGAGTTATGAATAAACAATTTACAAATCATTATCATCCTCACTCGTGGTACTATATACATTGTCATCTCGGATTACTGGGAAAGACTTGCAAACAATGAGATCCTCCTTGTCAATTTGATAAGCTGATGAGCATTCGGTCAATAATTCCTTTAAGCGAGCCATGGATTTGCATATTTGACGGATGTGGAGGATATCCCAAAGAATCTCAATAGGGAATCGCTGCGGGGTACGAGTATATTGTTGATCATATGGAGGTGTAGGTTGCTGTTGAGGAGGATTATCTTTGTTGCTGGTGGGTATGTCGTCGTCGTTTGATGATGAGGAGGGTTGAGAGATATCTGACCAGTCAAGACACCATTCAAGTACAGCGGGTGGATGTTGTTGTTGTGGTAGTGATGGGATATCCACATCCACTTGACACAAGGTAGCAATATACCCTTCGATCACTTCAAGTGCTTCATGATTGGAAAGTGGAGGTTCATTGTAATAAGGAAAATCAATGCGTTTCACATGCCGATGCGGTACATTGTTGTTGATTGGATCCATGGCAACCGAAGAATCACGTCGTACAAAAACGCATGCTTGCGTGCAGTGGCCAAGAGATACATCATCCTTTTTACCATCCACCAAGCCTATGCCATGAAACGATACGTCATAGTTGTGTTGCTGAGCTCCCTTTTTGCACCTGATATTGCGTACATCAATTCACATGCCATTTCCATCATCCATCCACGACAAATGATATTTACCATGTTTGAAACTCTTGACGTGTCCATTCAAACTTGTGATCATCATGACGAAATACAGCATTGGGTTGACCATAGTTCAGTTGCTCAAAATGGACATTGTATTCAGCGTTGGGGGTGGTGACGATAAAAATCCTTGGATGGTACTGGCCAAGCGCCGTGTTGAGGATGCGATCAAGAACGGGTGCATAAAGGTGCTCAATGACTTCGGAACAAATGATAGCATCAAAACCAGCAAGTCGTTTGTCGTATTCATCAACAGACCCTATGGCAATACTATAAGCAATAGAACAATCGAATCCATTGGTTTATGGACCCTACCTTGATATACATCAATAGTCAATGGGTATTCGCGTAGTTGGCTATAGTCAGCTGGCCATGGTTGACACCTTTCCACTGCTTCCTTAAGAGAATCCATGCATATATCCAAACCAGCGAGTCGCGTAATGTTGAGCGTAGGTGGAATCAAGAAGGATAGGACTGACCCTTCGCCACAGCCATAATCAAGCACCTAGACAAAGGTTAGTCGTCATGGGGCATGTTGGCAAGCTGATCCCTTACCGATGACACATTGTGTTGGCGTAGAATGTCCAAGATAAACGTGCGTCGCTGCCTCCATAGTGGAGGGCTAAAAGTGGTGTAGTGATCCTCCTCCATGGTGACCATGGCAGTAGTGCAAGGTCGTTGAAACAAAGAATAGCAAAGTTAAAGGAGTATGACAATAAAATCCTTTTCATTCTCTCTCTCTGAGTATACACGCCGTCCACAATAATGACACCCACCATCCAAGGTGTTTAATGACATGATGGGTTGCCATGGTGTTGTTCACCACGTGATATCACATTTCTCTCTTTTTTACCATAGCAACGCATATGGATCATCAATGCAAGCCCTGCAGATCTCGCTGCAAAACACCATACAAGCTCATGGATACTTACGCCAAGGAGACTTTTAGGCTTGACATATGTCATCTTAGACCACAATGCCAAGGCTCCCTTGCGGAAATGACTACTTTTTTTGCTACTAGTGAGTACATAGAGCGGCGGAGGAGAGATCATACTTGGTGGGTTCTCTTGGCCAATGTCACGGGCTAACATTCCGAGACGACGGATCGCCCTTTTACCATCCCATTCAGGTACCATAGTCCGACAGTGGCGGTTACCTAAAACGACACTTTGGTTTCCTTGGCCGAATATACTTCTCTCTTTCGTGCATTTTGATGATAGTAGTATACTCCTCCCGCCAATACTTGCATACGCCACTTGCCCAGATCCACTTGGCAACCCTCATCCATCACTCTGGTTGCCAAGAGATAAAGAAGAACAACATGATCAAGAAGAAGAGCTGACGTCGTCTTGTATAATTCTATTATCCATCTCTGCAAGTATCATGCATCATGGAGCTGCACACACAAACCTTGTTGCTATTGGATTCATTCATAAATACACATCTTTGGTGTATGGTGTGGTGTTAATATCGAGCCATGTGTGCATGCTTGGGAATCTACAAACGCACGCAATTGACACATCACACTCACACGCACGCACTGCACAACATGCAGCTAAGGGAAACAGGGGATAAGTGAAAGAAGGGATATGCTCGATGACTGGTTTGGATCTTGGCGTAGGTGATGAGAGTTGGTGTGGTGTAGTGACCTGCAGCTTGCAAACTTGCCAAGACTTTTCGCGTTGCCAAGACATCAAAATGTGGCCATGGTCTATCTTCCGTCGATCACTTTGGTCCTTTTTGAAGGCCCGAACTCCGTTGACTCTTCCCATAAACGCTTACACGCACACACCACCTACCACTTTCCTTCTTCCCTTCCTTCTCCTTACCATCAACTTTATCGCCAAGATTTATTAAACATCTTTTTTCTTTCATTTATATAAGCAACGCTTATTTCTTCGTGGCTTCTTTCCTTTCTTCTATCAAAACACCCCACTGCTTGTATTTGTGCATAATGTCATTACCATCACCGCCCCCCGAAAACCGAAAGCGGAAACGGTCTGTAGAACATCAACCAACAGCAGCATCACACAAACAACTCAAGATTGCCACAAGCACGGCCATCAACAACACCAACAGCAACAACAATAACCTAGGACAACTATGCTGGGCATGCTTTAGTAAATCAGAAGCGGCATTACGGATACTACTTCTCAAGGGCGGTTTAGATCCAAATGCTGCCCATGGACAAGATCAGTCGACCCCTTTGCATGTAGCTGCCACAGTCGGTTTCCTAAATGGGGTTGACCAATTGCTTCAACATCCCGAAGTTGATGTCAACAAGGTGGACGCTCACGGCAATACAGCAATTCATCGTGCTATTCTCGGCAACAATACCAGCTGTCTTCAACTATTGCTCGAAAACGGATCTCGTGTCGATATTCAGGACAAGAATGGTCGCCTACCTATTCATCTCGCTGCCTTATACAGAAGAAGTGATTGTGTATCCCTTTTGCTCTCTTTTGCTGATCACGATGATTTAATGGACAAACGCACAATCGCAAATCGCACCGTGGTTGAGGAATGCCTTGTTGGTGGTAGTGCATCGATCCTGAAAATGTTACTCAAGCACATTCTTCCATCATCTCGTTGTCATCATCATGATCAAAAAGAATCCAACAACAACAACAACAACAATCATGGGTGGATCGGTACAGCTGTTTACTGGAATCGCATCGAGTGCCTAAAAGTGCTTATCGAGGCTGGCCTCGATGTGAACACACCATTGAGCACACAAGACCCTTCGGATACAGCATTACATCGTGCCGTACAACAACGCAAAATCGACATGGTGCGTTGTTTGTGTGCCGCCAAAGCCAAAGCTTGCCTCCCAGATGGCTCAAACCCTCCTTTACTCTATGCAGCCTCACATGGATTTGTTGATATGATCCGCCTTCTTATTACACCCGACACCTCTGCGGATACCATTCGACAGGCGTATTTACTTATGGATACCCTTGGCCTCGCCGATCGCTTCGTAAATATAGTGCGTGCACGTCCTTCTTCTTCTTCAACATCATCATTATCATCACCCTCCTTTTGACTTTCTCCGATAATAAACCCATTCCCAGTATCATATTGTATATCATCCAATTTAAAAAAGACCAAAAGTGAGCATGATTTGTACACCTTGTGGGTATTTGAAATTGAATAGGCATATTGCATTGTTGATCCGTTGATCCGCTATTAGCTAATACAATGGCGCTAGAGCCTTCTTGCCACGTTCTTTGCATTTTTCATCATTTTACGGCACCACATGCATATGTGTATTTCTGTTTTAGGCGCAAAAGCACATCAAACGCACATGGGCAGAAGCAATGGTAGGGTTGTGTGTGTGTGTAAATGGTTGATAGCCGCGTGTCTTATGCGTAAGCTCTATTGTGGGGCAAAATGGGTGGTGGTGATTGTCGCTCACATTCGTAAACAAATCATTTCATCTACAACTGCTGCACAGCTGAGACGGCTCAGGGTTTCCAAAGATAATCCCCATTGGGCTTCTTCTTGCTCCCCCACCTCCTTGTCCTCCTCCCCCACAACCATCACCACATCACACAAGCAGCGGCGTATACAATAACACTTTTTCCAAAGAGAACAATAGGTTTCTGTGGTAAGTTGTGCTCGAGTAGGTTGACGTCATCGGCGTGTATCTGATACACTTTGAAGTCTAAGGATCAGGTTGTACATTGAAAAAGTGTTTGAGAGCGCCTGTAAACAGTGACCCATGATCCTGGAGGCCACCAATGCACGGCGGCATATATATAGGGTAATCCCCCCCAAAAAGCAGCTTAGAGCCCGCCACTCTATACTGCTATTTGCCTATTGCTTTACTTTGTGATCGACAAAAACGTGCGTATCCTATCTCCTGATGAGATGTAATTTATTGGTTGCATCGAAGCACTCTTGTATATAAAATACATAAAAGCATCAAGCTCAAGCTCATCTGAATTTTCTCTCACTCACTCTTTTCTCTCCCTCACTCACTTTTTTCCTTTCTTGTCTTGCGCACAGAGATGGCTACTACCGACATAGTGGCAACGAACATTGTAGATCATGGTACACCATTGACCATGCCTAGCGAACAAGATGTTAATCAACGATTGGAGATGATCAACAAACTCAAATTCTTCTTGGCCACGGCACCCAATGATTGGGAAGGCATCCCATCCGACACACCTATCAAGCGCTATTCCTTGGCTACGGGAGAATTCATTTCATGTGTCCACTGGGGTCATGGCTTTTTCATTTCGGGCACTGATATTGTACGCAGCTTGGTCTTCCGTTTCCATGCATTTGGTCGCCCTGTGCAAAATCTCAAAAAGTTTGAAGAAGGTGTCTTTAGCGATCTACGCAATCTTAAGCCTGGAACGGATGCAACACTCGAAGAACCCAAATCCAGCTTCCTTGATTTACTATACAAGCATAGTTGTATCCGCACACAAAAGAAGCAAAAGGTGTTCAACTGGTATTCGGTGCCGCATGATCGCCTTTTCCTTGACGCTCTCGAACGCGATTTAAAGCGTGAGAAGCTTGGTGTGGACCCCACATCAGTGGCCGTTGCCAATCCTGCTGTATCTATTTCACTCGACACAACACAAGCCATGTTTGATGAGTTCCGTAAAAATCTCTTGAGCGAACTCGAATTGGATGCATGTCTTAGCAAGGCTGCTGCTGCTGCTTCAGGTTGTTCACCATCCACATCATCGCCTTCACCTCGTCCTATCTCATGTTCCTATTCAGCACCTTTGATTCAGCGTCATGAGAACCCTGCTATTCGAAAGGCGTCAAGTGTGTTTGGTCATTTTGATCTCTTTGATGGCTCGCCTACATACAAACAACGAAGACGCCGCACCGTTTCCTCGTCCAACAATAACAACTCTGGAAGTTGCAGTTTTGATAACGACTCCGATAAGGCAGCTGGTGCAGATGATCAATCATCACGTTTTTACACGTGTCCTCTTAGCTCGTGTGGCAAGTTGTTTAAGCGGCTTGAACATCTCAAACGCCATTTGCGTACTCATACGATGGAACGGCCATACCTGTGTCACCTTTGTGGTAAGCGCTTCTCCCGATCCGACAATCTTGCACAACACAAAAAGACGCATGAACGCCGCCAACACCATCAACGACCCAAGATTGATACCAACCTTGCCAATCGTCAACAACGTCAACAACAACAACAATATCAGCAACCACCCAAAATCGATTACTGGGGAGCTGCACCCTCCACGTCAACATCCTCGTCATCATCATCGTCATCCAATTCCTCCTGCTATTCATCACCATCCGCTTCATCATCGACGTCGTCCATGGCAATGCATCAATCCGATAAATTTGAATGGGAATCGACATGCAAGTGGTTTGATATGACACAGCTGGAATATGTACCATATCAACAACACACAACAATGCATCCACAAAATGCTACCACAACCACCACGTTGCCTCATCACCATCATCAGCACCATAGCAACCATCACCACAACAACACCACAACTACAGCCAATGCCACAACCCTTGTTGCAAGCGACATGTACACTACATCCACAGCCTTTGAGCCTGCAGCATTTTACGCACCCACAGCAGCTCCAGACACTACCATGCGACCTGCAGACGTGCTAATGCATTATTAATGGTTACAATCCAGCCCTCTTTTTTCAATTCTTTTCGCTCTTTACCCTCGTACTACTACACTTAGTATGTTTATGATCATCATTACCCCGCTTTGATATCTCTCTATCTCTATCTCCTCAGCCTCCCCCAATAACCCCCCTCCACAATTAGAAACGCACCGACTCTCATGTTGTGTGCGATTGTTGTTATTATACTATGTATGTATTTATCTCCTGCAAACGTCTTTTTCCTTTCAAGATTATATCATCCGCATCTTCACCATATACCTTATCTTTTTCTTTTTGCTTTTCTTTATTATTCGTATTTGTATGGATGGCTTTTATCTATGATGTATACAATTAAAGATCGTCGACAATTGTGATCATTGTAAACTAAACATGGAAATGGGCCACTTGTTCGTTGATGAGGAGGAGATCATCTTGATCGTGTACATGTTGCTGAGCATAAAGTCAAAATGAGAAAGTTTAGTTGTTACATACCCATCATCATCATCATCTCCAGCTCCTCCATAAACCGGTTTATGATATTGCCCATCATCATCATCATCATCATCCAGGTACATCATTTTGCATGACTTTTTGTCACATTGACACTTGCCAGTCAAACAAGACTGATGGTTGGTATAATAGTAGTAGTCATCATGGTGTAATAATGTGAATCACATGTATGGTTGTTCTATGCAATGATATTCTCACGTGGCTGCAGGCAGGTAGATGCTTCTTATTGCCCGTCGTGGGTACAAGATAGTAGGACGGTCGTGGTGGTGGTGGTGGTGGTGGTGGGACCCCACATCATCATCTCCGCCATAGGGTCAACATAGATGCATACACACATGTCTACCGGTTACCCAAATTAGCATTAAAATTAAGCATGCCGATGGAGCAAGGGGAAAAAGGAAAAAGACAAAGGGGGGGGTTATTGTTGGTGGTTGTGGTTGTGGAAAGATCTTGTCACGTTCTTTGGGGGGGAGAGAAATAAAATGCGGTTTTTTAGCCATAGACCGCGTGGCTGAACCTATCATCATCAAGAGTCAATATGCAGTGGGCGTCATCCCATCACCATCTCTATTCTATGTATGTGTGTGTGTGTGTGTAAAGAAAGGCTGTACCTGATCATTAGACATTTTGTTTCACCGTGACACAATCATTGATCGCTTAAGAAAAAGAGGAGTTGGGTGGTACGAGAAAATGGAGATAACCTTGTTGGGACGCTTTGATTGAAGAACAAGTAGTAAAGAGCAGGGCGTGTCCATTGTCTATTTTGAGTGGGTTGGCTCTTTCTCTAGATTTCTCTTGTAGACCAAAAATTGGCTCGGGGTATAGAGGGTGTGGGGCCCATGCATGAATCAACCAATAGTGTGGCATTCAACACTTGTCGCATTGAAGCAAAAATTCAACAACAACACCCACCTCGTGCATTGCAATAATATGTAAATGCACGATCGACAGCTCGATCTATGTATGTATGTGTCCAATGTAAGCATTACACCTACATACATCTCCTTTTCAACATCATGTTGACCCGCGCTCAGAATTCTCCCTATGATGGATGTATGCTTGATATGGATAGATCGGAATGAAAGCGATTCCCCATATTGGTAGATCAACACTAGCACCATGTTTACTCTGCGTTGACCAATCTCACGCACCTTCTACATTATACACACGCTTATCATTCCGATCTGCAAAACAAAGAGAGAAAGAAGCCGAAGTTTCTATTTACATACTCACGGCTTTGGCTTCTATATGGAGCGTGGTGGAATCATTGTCGTTGGGGGTGGGATGTTGAAAGTGGTATACAGAGGGTAGATGAACAATAGCACAGCCTTCATTATCAGCTACTACTACCAATTTGATAACAACATTGCCACACACAAAAAAAGACATGTAATTTCTAGAAACCTGTTGTGGTCTCACAGCCGGCTTCTTCTCCAAGAAAGATCGAAGATCGACCGCTCCGTGTTTCATCTTTATAGTACGACTGCATTATATCATACGGATGTTGGTTTTTCCCGTCACCACCATCACCTTGTACTACGAGCTAACTTGTTGACCCTATACATACATATACACAGGATGCCAAGATATTTGTTTCTTGGGCTAGTCAGTTTTCTGGAGTAGGCTGCATATGCAACTACCACATGCTCAATGTCTCTCCCCCCCCCGGGCGCATAGACATATGTATCCACCTACTCCCACGCGATACCTGATATCCAGCTGACAATTCGTTTGTCGCACGTGTGGCTAGCCGAAACCTTGATTCATTCCATAGGCGGACATGCTAAAAAGAAGTGTCCATTTTGTCCACGTGCCCATACTCTTTCTTGATTGTACACATGTTCTCAAAAGAAATGGAATGGTAGTCCTCAGAATGAATACCAGCATCATCAGCTTGCATACAATGGCAATGTCTTTGTGCAAATCGGGATCGGGAAAGGGTTGAAACATAATGAAATGGATTTATTACTCCAATCAAATCGATGACTTTGAGTCAAAAGACCTTGATTGACAAAATATTTTATGTAGCAATGGATACGCAGCAAGCGCTGACGGATTAACCGGTCAACAAAGGAGGGTGGATGTATAGGTTGGATTTGGATCATACTCAAGTACAAAAGTAATCACTTTTCCTTTGACAATCCACGTGATTAAAATCTGCATTTTCCATAGCAACCAAAGAAAAGATACATTTTCATTTTGAGAGGGATTGATATTTGGCGGGGGGATGGTTGTGGATAGCTTTATGCAACAAAAGTCAGCAAGAGAAGTGTGACCTGTTCAGCATCCATCCTCTTCTTTTACCTCTTTGCCACCAATGACCGAAGTACCCATTTACCACCTCGAGGAGAAAGAATACGACGCGCCTTATTATCAAATCCGTACCGATTACGAAGACAACTTCTTCAACTCCAACACTCCACTCGTCATTGACAATGGTGCGGTTTATTATCTCATCATACGCTATATACTATTCCTCGACTCAACCAATGCTACATAGGATCGTACCAGTGTCGTGCAGGCTGGGCCACACAATCGAATCCAGCATGTACGTGTTTGCAGCGTTCAACCTTGATTGTATACTGAGCAATGTGTATCTAGTGATCTTTGACAGTGTTGTTTCAAGGTACAAGGATCGTAAAGCCAATGTCAATATGCTCGCTGTTGGTATGGATGCCTACGCGGATCCTGCAGGCCGATCCAACGCACGATCACCTTTTGACGGCAACGTTGTGTGCGACTTTGACCGTATGGTAAGGCTGATGACAATACGAGATACATCTATCGTATACTCGGATCTCACATGTCATGTCATAGGAAACCATGTTGGATTACATCTTCACCACCCTCGGCATCACTACCGATAGTATCAACCATCCCATCGTCATGACAGAACCTGTTTGTGTTCCGCAATTGAGCCGCAAACGTAAGTGATGCATTGGAACACTCGTGGATGGATAACTCATTTGTGTATTTGCGTGCATAGAAATGAGTGAGCTCTTGTTTGAAGCATACAATGTTCCATCAGTTATGTTTGGTATCGATTCACTATTCAGCTTTTACGCCAATGGTGGTATGCGGGATACGGATGGTGATGAAGCCGATATCGTTGTCTCTGCAGGACATAGCAACACACACATTATTCCTACGTTACATGGCAAAGGTCTTTTGGAAAGGACGAAGCGGTAAGAAAGAAGAAGAAGAAGGGACGTTTGGATGAGGGAGATATTGATAATGAAGGAATAGCATTTCGTATGGTGGCACACAGGCAACCGATTACATGCTCAAGCTTATGCAACTCAAATATCCGACGTTCCCCACGAAAATGACAAACACACAGGCACAGGTACAGCCATTGTATTACCGGATGAGGCATGATGATATTCACAAAAAGATGTGGTTTTCAGGATTTGGTGCACTCTCAAGTCATGGTCGCTGATGATTACCAAGACGCTTTGAAAAAGATCGAGAATCGAGATACGTTTGGAGAGTTTGATCGCATCGTGCAATTCCCATATACGCCACCGGTAAGGAATACGACGTGAACGATAAACATTCCTTTTCATTTTAACACGATACTCTAGGTGATTGAGGAAAAGACTGAGGAAGAATTAGCTCGACAAGCAGCTAAAAAGGAGGAGAATGCGCGTCGATTACGGGAGGCTGCTGCCAAGTCTCGGTTGGAAAAGGTTTGTATTGTGTGGGGGGGATAGGTACTTGTTCAATAGACTAACATGTCCGATAAAGCTGGTGAGACGAGAACAAGAATTTGAGGCATTCACAGAACTCAAGAATTCGAGAGCTATCATGAACAAAAAAGAATGGATGGTAGGATTGGTTGCATTTTGGTAAAGTGGGTCATGTGCTAATACCTTGAATGGCATCATAGGCTCGATTAAAAGAAGCAGGCTTCAAGGATGAGGCTGATCTCGATGACACCATCAAACAAACGGATGCTGCTATTCAACGAGCAAGGAATAAAGAATTGGGCATTGAAGAGAATGAAGAAAAGGTAATTTACTGAAAAAGATGTGAAGGGCTGTTCACTAATATATATACATCCAGGGACCCCCTGTTACCACGCTTATCGACATTCCTGATGATGAACTATCTGAAGCGGAGAAGAAGGAAAAGAGGAAACAGAAGCTGATGAAAGCCAACTATGATGCACGAGAACGGGCTAAAAAGGCAAAGGAGGAAGCCAAAGCGAGAGAGGTATGTACACATATACGTGTTCGTGGATAGATGGATTAATGAGCTTTTTATGTAGGAGGAGGAAGCAAGATTGGAAGAAGAAAGACGATTACGGGATCCTGAGAAATGGATTGCAGAAGTGAAGCAAAAGCGTCAGGTATGAGATATATGGATGTTTTTGCTTTGCATGGCTGACAGATGGGATGATAGGGTGTGGTTGACAGGATCAAAAAGAGAAGACGTTTGAATATGGAATTGGCCGATCGTCGAAGCCGAGCATCCCAACTGCGTATGCGATCCATTGCTAATCTTGCAAGTGATACCCCTACTGGTAAACGTCGAAGGAGAGGTCAGGAAGGTACGTGGATCACGTATGGATTATCCAAATGCGTAAGCTGATGCACAAATTATCATATAGAGGATACATTTGGTGCTGACGATGAAGATTGGATGATCTACCGAGAAATCGTAAGTAATAGTGTGGTATACACGTTCTTTTATGACTTGTTACTAACAATGACTATAGAGTCGTGAAGATGAATCGGATGAAGAAGAAGAGGATTTATCAATGTTGAACCAATACGAGTCCTTGCTGCTTCAATACGATCCCGATTTCTTGCCAGAGCATTCCTTTGAAGCTACATCCTCGCCAACCAACACGCTTATGCATCTACTTGCACGTGGTCAATATCCTCCTTACGATCCTACCGATGTCGGCCAAATGCATCAACTCCATGTCAATGTTGAACGCGTACGAGTGGGCGAGGTGCTTTTCCAGCCAAGCATTGTTGGATTAGATCAGGCTGGCCTGGTGGAGACTATGCATGATATTGTTAGAACCTTCAATCCCGATCGTCGTATGCAAACTGTCAAGGTAAGGCGCTACGTTATTATGGGTGAAGATACGCATGCTAACTTTTAACATGCCATTTTCAACAGACAATCTTTGTTACTGGTGGCTTCAGCAGTTTACCTGGTTTCTCGAATCGCATCTTTACATCATTACGAGCCATCCTTCCTGTTGGTGCAAGCTTCCAAGTCAAACGTGCTGAAAATCCATTGTTGGATGCATGGAAAGGAGCTGCAATGATAGCAAAAGAGTCTGGCTATAAACAATACGCTGTTACTCGTCAAGAATACGAAGAATATGGAGGAGAATATATCAAGGAACATGGTTTAGGCAATGTATTTCGGTAGATTAAACGCTATTCTATGGTCATAATAAAAGCTTTATTCTTCGATTTAATAACACCCTAGCTCGCAGGCATAAAAATGATGAAAGGGGAAAGCTTGTCAGTTGTCGGGGATAATTCACGTTCTTCTTGCAGTAACATGCTACAAGCATATCCCCCTGTGCCAAACTGGTACACGTCCCACTGCGCTTGTGTTGTCGACACTCTCAACTATTATATATACGCCAGCCGTAATGCCATTGTCGTCCTGGATCTTGCAACCTTTGCCTTTGCCAAAACGTTCTTGGGAGCAATGCAACGAATCAACGCGATCGCCGCCTACGAACAGTTTTGCTACATTGCCGAAGGGAACAGAATCCGTGCATGGAACTTGATCGATAGCAGGTTGCTTGTAGCTTATAAGGCGATCCACAAGGTAATGAAGGAAGGGCTCGGATACTGGGCTATTCTAATGATGTTGATTACCTATTTAGAATGATATTACAGTGATCCAATGTATCCGTGGTGGCACGACTTTGGTTTCTGGTGATAAATCGGGTGCTCTTGTGCTGCAATTGGTGTCAGGTGATCAATGCTGGCGATCAGAAAAGGTCAACTCGGAGATCAGAACCATTGCTCCCATGTGCTTTGCAGGGCAAGATTACCTGGCTATAGCGTAAGGTCGAAGATACAATTTACATCATGTGGCCATGCTGATAGTGGTTTATCTTTTTAGATACGCCAATGGGATGATTTATATTGAAAAAGTCCTTGCTGATTTGAAGACTGAAACGGTTTATCAGATGACACACGCTCACGTCAACAACCTTGCATGGCAGTATCAGGATGGGAACCAAGCAACAGCAACAACAACAACATGGCCATTATTGGCATCGAGCACGCGACGTAACCGTGAGATATACATTTGGAACGTTCCATCAGAATCCAAGCATGCTATCGTCAAAATACCACCTCCTTCACCCAAGTGGACTGAACAACAACGCAATACACTATGGATTGAATTAGCATGGTCGCCATTGGAAAGAGATAGGCTATGGGTATCCTCTTACATGTAAGTGCCCTTTTGATATGGAATGCACGAGTATACTGACAATGAGACAAAAGGGGAAACATCATTGGCTTCAAGATCAACAATGGCTCTGGTGTCTCGAAAGGACGATTACCTGATGTCCATTCACGGATTGCTTTCAGCTTGATGTGGGTGAATCAAGGCCGTAGGATGGTGAGCTATGGATTGGATAAGCAGGTAAGCTACATGGTTGTTTATGGGATTGATATATGCTAATCCAAGTATAATAGATCGTCTATTGGGACATGCATGACAGCGTTGCACGCGTGCAAATGGTGACACAAGCAGCATTTCCATATGCAATTGATATCTCTGCATGGAATCCAGGACAAGCCGCTGTGGGAATGGGTGATGCCAACATCAAAGTATGGCAATTTTTATCTACTATGACCAGTGGCAAGGACAATTTCTACCAAGCTTCATTGATGTGGAAGGAAATGCAAGGACAAATTCGTCATGTAAGAAGCAATGAGACATAAGATGGGTGTTTAAATAGAATGCTTATGATGAACCAATAGGTCAAATGGCATCCAGAACAAGATAGCAAGATCGCATACAGCAACGAATATGGACGCATCGGCGTGTATGATATCTCAAAGACCAAGAACATGCGTTTCAAAGGATACCATGATGCCGGCACTGTCTCCATCGCTTGGGCAGGAGATCTCAGCCTAGGTGAACATGGCATGGTGCAAGATACTCTCATTTCATGCGGTGTGGATGGCAAGATTTTGGCGTTTCATGCTGGGAAGCCCCACTTTGCCCCTGTGTTACTTGAAGATATTCTCGCACAAGCCAATCCAGCATGGGCAAAAGCAAATCAGGTACCTACCTTGGATGCTTGGTTCATAAATTCAATGACCGCTGACATGATCTTTGATAGGCCAAAGTGAATACAAAACGATGCATTATTGATGTGGATCCTGGACATCGATTCCTCGCTATAGGAAATACCGATGGCGTAGTGGAGGTGTACAGACTTGATACGCTAAAGATCATCTATGTGTGTAATGCACTTACTGTGAACGTCACTGCCATGGCTTGGGGAGGTACGATTACTTGAGATATTCATTCACCAACATCCCACTTACCCCTCTCTCTATAGGAAAGGATCAAACTTATTTGGCTGTTGGCTATCGATCAGGCAACATCACCATACACAAGATCAGTATTCAAGAAAATTCACCTGGTAAATATAGCACTTGGATACACGCATACATACTTGTGATTGACATGTATTGGCTATAGAGATCCCTATACCTGATTCTACGGCGTTACACAAGTCCGATTTCCACAAGAAGCCAATCAATTGCCTTGCATGGAGCCATCATGTTGACAAGATGTATCTAGCTTCGGCATCAGAAGATGATTCTGTTGGTGTATGTAATTACTTGTGCATCATTGATCCCATTCACTTATGACACCCTTCTATAGGTATATGGGCTGAAAGCTGAAAATGATAGCGTACATGTGATACCCGAAGCACATTTTAAGCAGCATCGAGGGCGTGTGCTTACCGTTTGCTGGGGATATGAAGATACCGACGTATTGATATCGGGTGCGGAGGATCGATTTATTTATCTTTGGAAGTGGACCGATTATTTGTATCCTAAAGGTAAAGTGGGAATGGATGACCACGAATGGACAAGGCTGATGCATATCATTAGGCAAACATGATCGGACAAGTGCTAGGGAGAAGGAGCTTTCAATGATAACAAAGAGTCCAAGCATGGGGAATAAGTCCGAGGCAGCAACCGAGGTAGCATCAACATCAACGACAGCAACAATGGAGGCGAACCAAGAAGTCGTACAACATGCCAAGAAGAAACGCCGAGTACCCAATGCTTTGATGATTGCTTCAAGACGCTCTCAACAAGTCCTAACACAAGATGTCATGCTTCGGCGGAGTCTGTTGTTGGCAGCTAGCATTTACGGTGGTGATCCATTATCAGCAATTGAGCACGTCAAAAGCAAAATACCCGCTCACATCAATCCCGCGTTATATGATGCATATGTTGGATCACCGTATGAAGGCGATAGTGAAGTACTGGACCTATTTTTCGGTGATAAAAATGACATGCGACATCTTTTGGATCTCGAAGGTAAAGGAAAGAAGGAAAATTATCATATACGTCAATTGACTCATGAGATTCAATCAATGCCTAGAGTCGCAAATGGCACAAGTCAAAGAAAGAAGTTGGCCCTTGCCCGGGTCAGAAAATTTCGACTTGAAGCTTGCCCTGGATATTATTCGAAGCAACACGCAAGAATCACAATCACCCTCCAACATGATTGATTGGATTGCACTTGCGTTGAGCCCATCAGGTACAGTGTACGAGGTCCAATCGATATGGGTATGGCATGTACTTACATTAAGATTTTGTATATAGCTGGAAAAGAAGCATGGCTGGCCATGATGGAAAATACCGCTACTCAACTTGCTCGTGCTGGCCAAACCGTACTTGCTGCTACTTGCTATCTTGCTTGTTCCAAGGTCTATGATGCTATCAATGTATATCGCAAAGCCAAAATGTACAGGTACGAAATCGGCAAAGAGGATAGCATGTGATACTCTGTCGCATTAAAATCAGGTCTTTTTCTCTCAGGGAAGCTATTGCCATTGCCAAAATCAGGTTGCCACCAATCGACCCATTGATACCCACTTTATATGCTGAATGGGGAGATATGCTCAAGAATAGCACCACCGAAGAGGAATTTGCAGCCTTGTGGTACGTGTCATAAGCGGTTTGTGGTATCCAAGCTGATCTCTTTTTCCCATATCTACTAGTTTTATCAAAGGCCAAGTACCAGGATCGACCGTTCAAGCTATCAATCTTTTGGCACGGAAGCAAAAGGATGGTCATCTTTTCTGGGCTGCATGCCTTGCATGTTTGCTCAATGACAGCACAGCAGACGAACGAATCTCACAATACATTCAAGCATTGGAAAAACGTGCAACAAGAGGCTCTGGGTAAAAGATATTAGAAGGATGAATTTGTATCGTGATGGACACCTTTGTGCACCCTTTGATCATACCAATAAAAAAGGCACCAGCTGATGAACCACAATAAGACCAATTGGAACGGCATTAATATCAAGCGCGGTGTAAAGAGGGGATGTCCAAATATCACAATGGCTATAATGACAATGAAAATAGGGTAACAATGAGACGCTAAAGATCATCATAGACCATGGATCGCTCACAAGATAAGGTAATTCACTATGATGCTCATACCAACTTGGACTTTGAAGGTGTCACCATTTTAAGGGTGATATGATGGAACATGGCGACAACGTTTTGCTTATATGTATCACAAAAGCCAACTTCTTGCATGACCGATAACCGAACCATCTTTATTATTCCATCTTCGAAGCAATAGTATGTAACCCACAAGCTAGCAAAGTCCAATAAGCGTGTAATAAATAAACAAAGCTTTATTTCATCTAGCTATAGTACTTTGACCAACATCGTCGTCTTTGTCGTACGTCGTCATCCGTAAACTCGCACTCGTACTCGGCAACAGTCGTCGCTCTCGTCGTCACCCAATATCCAACACACGCGAGTAGAAAAGGCTTCCTTCTAGACGATGTCTACGAGATATGAATATCATCAAGCAACTTCATCTTGGCAAAGGAACGGTAAACCCATGCTTGTTTGTGCCGTTGTCGTTGTCGTCATTGTCGTGGATCTCGCGGTCGTTATCATCGGCATTGTTGTGGATCTCGTCGTCGTTATCATCGCAACCATCGTCATAGTCTTAATCATCGCAATCGTCGTCCCTATGAATGAAAGCAGGCAAGTTAGACCATCTGGTACCGGGAATGATGACGATTTGGTATACCGTTAGGCGATCCTCTCTAAGGAGGAAAGGCAAATCAGAAGGAATTCACAAACCAAATCACCCACCATACGAGCAACGTCGGGCGATCCCTTGTTCTTGAGAAAGCACTGCACGAATCACGCAAGGCCAGTTCGATCTATGGCAAGGAAGGACATCACTTACATAGAGTCCAGGCTCATAGTTGTCCTCATTCATCCTCTCCAAAGAAAGAATGATCCCCAATCCTTCCAATCATTTCCCACCTCATGAAAAGAAATCCTCAAGGGAAAGAACGAGCCTATCACGAGAAGAGCGTGTTGGTTTGCATTGATGTCAAGCTGTTGCAAATCCCCTTTTACCTCAACACGGTGACCATGCTCTTCCAAAAACCCATTGTCATCGACCACTTGATACAGGCTGGGAGTCGATCCCAAAGAGATGATGATGATGCTTCAAGTTGCATTGCCTGACCAAAGAACCCTATGCGACCCATTATTAGCACTACATACAATAAATGCCTTTTACATTGTTTGTTTCATTGTACTTGCCTTTTCCATATACACAAAGACCCGTTGTTGTTGGTTACTGGAAACCGAAAACCATGGTGTAGTATAGTTGAGCCGAAACAAAACGCCAAACCAGCCAACGTCTTGAAACCAAACTTGCTCTCTATACAAGCTGACGCGTCAATGGAACCAATTCGGCTGCAACAATGGACTCTGAATGTACCTGTTGACACCAAGCGTAGAGCGGGAATAGCAACGAGCAAAAGGAAGCAACAATATCGCCATGGCAACCACCAACCACCAACCACGCTCATTCCTCAGCACTTGGACACACACTCACTCCCTGACAATGCATGTTCAGGACTACATTAACATCTCACAGCCAACAAGAGCACTCTTTGATAATACATTACCTTGATCGAGATGTCGTGAATGGAATAAAAGCAGAGGAGTGAGAAAGAGAAGAGAAGCGTTGTCTAAGTCGTGGAGCTACCGGCCTCCAAGTTTAAATCCCCTACTGCTATTACACTGAGGCCACTCAATGACCCCACATACACCATCCACCCATCATCAGCATCACCCTAACGATAGACAACAGGTACACGCAAATAAAAGAAATGATCCTGACGTATAGCAAAAGGATGAGTGCCATTTTACACTTTACATGATAATGATGATCCAACAACAGCCATTGCCTTTACTACCAGGTTACCTCGAATCAAGAAAGTTAAATGATGGGAATGATGGGCTGGAGCAAGACAATCGTTCGTATGCATTGGATTGGACAACAAAGGTGAATGGGAAGAATGGGCTATTAGCTGGCAGTTTACAAATAACTTTGCAAAATGATTTTTGTGAAATTGGATGATGTTTTGTGTTTGAGCGTAACTCAACCAAATCCTCTCGGATCAAGAAAGTTTAATGATGGAAATGATGGGCTGGAGCAGGGCAATCGATCGTATGTATTGGTTTGGGCAACAAAGATGAATGGGAGGAATGGGCTATTAGCCGGCAGGTTTACAAATAACTTACCAATTTGATTCTTCTGATATTGGATGATGTTTCTGTGTTTGAGCGTTTTTCAGTCAAATCTCATCGGATCAAGAAAGTTGAATGATGGGCATGCTAGGCTGGAGCAGGACAATCGTTCGTATGCATTGGATTGGACAACAATGGAGAATGGGAGGACTAAGGTTATTAGCTGGCATTTTGAACTATTCCGTAGATAGTGTACAAGAATCATGCATCGCCTGTGCTGAATGACTCAAGTTACTCAAACACGCCCTCTGCATCTTTTGCTCTACTATAGTCATATACTTTACATTAAACAAAGACCACTTCTCATATAGCATCACGCTTACAAACATAAAGGTGCCTGTATCTCCAAACTTTACAATCAAACGTGGGCTCTTTAGTAGATCAACGTGCTTGTCGGGGTCAAAGGAATCTTGTGTCAAAGTATGAAGTTCATCGTGGGCGATCCCAGATTTCGCAATGTCGCTACCAGCCAAACTGGATCTGGGGCTCAACCTCTTTCGACGACGACCAAAAAAATATTTTTTGGGCTGTTCGCGACATTGAACGCGAAACTTTCACACAAGGTGCTGTTGGCCAAGCCGAGCCCATTGCTGTAATAAAAACCCCACGTTTGATTGTGAAGTTTGGAGATACAGGCACCTTTATGTTTGTAAGTGTGATGCTATAAGAAGAGTGGTCTTTGTTCATTGTCAAGTAGCTGGACCCTGGCAGAGCAAAAGATGCAGAGGGTCGTGTTGTGTAACACAGCTACGTTTGCATGAATGAAAGGGTCAATGTATAATTACTTTATAGATCATCTAGGAACAGGCATGTATTGCTAGCTAACGGCCACTTTTATCCAATCATCATTGTTCCGAGATCCACTGTGATGCTGGGAATGCTCCTGCTCTTAGACATACATTTCCATGATTAAAGTAGTTGATCCGAGCTGATTTGACTGAGCTGCGGTCAAAGAGAGATTACATCAATTTCGGACATGAAGCACGCTCGATGGGCTCAACCGATGTAATCTTGTGTGAGCGTAACTCAACCAAATCAGCTCGGATCAACCTACTTTAATCACGGAAATGAATGTCTAGAGCAGGAGCATCGTCCACAATAGAATGCACAAAAGTGGCTATTAGCTGCCAATGTATGACATAAAAGTGAGGGTTGCGTACCTGTCATGCATTGTCCCTGAAGTCCTGACTTTTTAGCTGAGTTACCCAAAGAGGTCCTTCTGCATCTTTAGCTCTCCAAGGTCTAGCTACTTGGCAATGAACAACATGTCTTCCCAGAATTTAACCAAACTGCCTGATAAGGAAACAGGCACACAAAATCGTCCACAACGTCTCTCGTATGCTAAAGCTACACGTCGTCCTTCGCTCATTCGTGATTCTTTGAAGACACCTACAGGTCGTAAATCGGCTACACACTCCAACGTGTGGAAAGTAGGCGGCTCACCAGCTTGTCCCAGCTTGTTTTTTGATTTCACCTCTCGACCCAACACCGTGCTGAAATACTTCGTCATATCAACAGCAAGTTTCCTAACAACTGTGGAGTACGCCTCCACTCTGATCACGCACGTCGCATTGTCGAACTCTTTATCGCCGACAAAAGACTATAGCAAAATCAAGTTCATGGGTATCAGCTTCCCTGACAACCAATGTATTTTACCTTCGATACCTCTTCTCCTGATGCTCGCCTTGTACACCTTCAGCTTAGTGATCTACCCTTTACCACAAGGGACACGTTATCAAATGGTATTCAAGAAGTACTTTCCGACTATGGCAACGTCCTCGACTATGGTATCCTTCGCGATTATGATTCTCACCTCTTCATGGGCAAAGGCTATGCCACTCTGGAAATTAATAATGCCAAATCTGGTACAACCCGATTACGCCACACAGTTGCATGGCCCAATTCAGACGACCTGTTTCATGTTACGTGGGCAGAAATGCCGCTCCATTGCCTTCATTGCCATCAAGCTGGTCACGCTACATCTGCATGCCCTAATCGTGCTACTCGTTCTCGTGTTTGTTACCGGTCATGTGGCTGCACAGGCCATCGCGCCGCTAAGTGTCTCAACCGTAAACCCAAACCTGATTCATCCAGTCCTACGACACCACCTATGCCTCATTCACCTTCGTCGCAATCTGCCAACAGCCAAACGTCTGATATCTCCGATGAAAACGAACTTCGATCTATCGTCTATTGAAAGCTATAACGACAATATCATTAACGAGTACATACCTGATAATTTCGATGACAACATGCTCTTGCCGACGCCACAATTCACCTCCGGGCTCCTTCGCCATATTCACGATACCCAATTCTATGTCTGACCAAGCCAAGCAAATCACCGCTTTCTTGACACTCTCAGCTCTTGATCTTCTTGCTGAATCTCTTAAACAGAACGGTCAACCTTTGCATCCTCTACCCCTTCCTCTCATTTCTCGAAGTCCCTCGCCACCGAGGGACTATAGCCCGACGTAGTCATTCCTTCAATACGTAGTTCTTGTACGTTTTTTCAATATCGTTCCGATTTTGGGGTGCCACTCTTCGATGCACTCCCAATAAAACGAGGCCAAAAGCCTCCATATAAATACTTGGCAATGAACAAAGACCACTTCTCATATAGCATCACGCTTACAAACATAAAGGTGCCTGTATCTCCAAACTTTACAATGAAACGTGTGGTTTTTATTAGAGCAATGTGCTCGGCTTGGCCAACAGCACCTTGTGTGAAAGTTTCGCGTTCAATGTCGCAACTAGCCCAAAAAATATTTTTTGGCCGTCGTCGTCGAAGAGGTCGACCCTCAGATCCAGTTTGGCTGGTGGCGACATTGCGAAATCTGGGATTGGCAAGAAGCTTGATCGTGAAACTTTCACACAAGGTGCAGTTGGCCAAGCCGAGCACATTGCTCTAATAAAAACCCCCCGTTTCATTGTAAAGTTCGGAGATACAGGCACCTTTACGTTTGTAAGCGCGATGCTATATGAAGAGTGGTTTTGTTCATTGTCATAGGTGGACCCCGGCAGAGCAAAAGATGCAGAAGGACCTCTTTGGGTAACTCAGCTAAAAGTCAGGACTTCAGGGACAATGCATGACAGGTACGCAACCCTCACTTTTATGTCATACATTGGCAGCTAATAGCCATTTTTATCCAATCAGCATTGGCAATAGAATCCACTGCATAAATTTCGCTACAGACATATTCATTTCCATGATTAAAGTAGGTTGATCCGAGCTGATTTGGTTGAGTTACGCTCACACAAGATTACATCGGTTGAGCTACATCGAGCGTGCTTATGTCTCGAGTGATGTCTCTTTGACCGCAGCTCAGTCAAATCATCTCTGGATCAACCTACTTTAATCATGGAAATGTATGTCTGGAGCAGGGGCATCGTTCCCATGCAGTGGATCTTGCAGCAATGATGATTGGATAAAAAGTGGCCGTTAGCTAGCAATACATGCCTGCTCGTAGATGATCCATAAAGTAATTATACATTGACCCTTTCATTCATGCAAACAAGCTGTGTTACACAACACGACCAGCAATACGTAACTGAACGAAGTACACC